ATGATACACCTCGGTACACGTGCTAAGCATGTCCAAGAATTATCCTGTTTCACTGCCTGTTGGCACAAGTGAGTGGCACGCATGTTGATCTTGCCACGTATCCATGTGTGTACGAGCGCATGTGCATACGCCTCGTCCAGAGCAGTTCTGCTCAGCTTTGTTCTGTTGCCGCCCCCTTTCCGTCGACAGTCGATCTTTTGCACACACGCCTTTTGCCCCATTCCGGAACACTGGACATGCTTTCCTGATCACGCACGGCATTAAAACGGGCAGATAAAAACAAAGCAAAAAATAAAAAAAATAACATGCGCATAAAACTTGGCCTCTTTTATTCTTCCCTGTCTAACAACGAAGCCGCGCTCATACATACACACACACAAGTAACGCCCATGCGCATTTCCGTCCACGTGCACAACCCTTCGAGGGTACGCGTTTAAATAACCCCCCTTTTGCTGGCCACTCCTCGGGTACCGCACCAAATGACGTAACGCAAACGCCACGCGGTGTGCGAACAAGTTACTTATTTCTGTTGCGGTCTAGGCGAAGCAATACGGCGAGAGGATGAAAACAGGGGGGAAAAGCCAAAAAAAAAAAAAAAAAAAAAAAAAAAAAAAAAAAAAAAAAAAAAGGGAGAGAATAGGCAAAGAAACATACAACACATGAGGTGTTATACCCTCCTCACGCTTTCGCATCCTTTTGGAACTCCCCCTTAAATGACACTTTGACTTTCCCACCTATTATGCTGCCTTCCCGTTTGGTCAACAGGCACGCGTACATACATATATTTACATGCACACAAAAAATGCGACAAGGAAAATCTTGCACGCCCACATGTATTTATTTATTTATTTTTTTTTCTTTCCAAGCGGGGATCTAACAAAGGGACGAACATGGCGTATTCCTACGTCCTTGTGCGATTTTTTTTTTTTTTTTTTTGGAGTCAAATTATTTCCACACATTGAATACGTTGAAGGGGAAATGGGATAAACGACATGGCTCCGCTTTCCCATTCTGTCCAACGTCCAACCGTCGTTTACTAATCGATGATGAAAAGGTCATAACCCCCTCGTGCCATCCCCCAAATCCCAGAAAGCAAAATCATATGAACGCTGAAAACGGGGGGCGGGGGGGGGGTACTTCTTTCGCCCCTTGTGTTGATCTCCATTTTCCAATTTTCAAATATTTTGCAATTTCGATTTTCTTTTCTCAAAATGGTTAACGACGCTCCCTTCGCAAGTATGCGCTTTCAGTTGGGGGGTACTCAGTCAGTACCCACACCCCTCCTCCCCCTTTGAAGGAACCGTTCCGCATCCCATTTTTATTCCCCTTCGGTCGTCTCGCCGCTGCGTTCCGATTACGGCGTGGTCACCATTATAAATGCCTTCCCTTGCAAGGCGACAACGCGAAATTTCCAAATGTGTATCGTCTTCTCAGGTGACCAAGCCTGCTGGACTGTTACAAACGGGAAAGACTAACCACACATCGAATGTTCACACGGATTAACAAAAAAAATAAACGGAACAAAGTCGTTTTTGTGGCTCCTTCCCCATCCTCTTCTTCACCTCTTTTGCGCACCTCCTTCTACTGTGATGTGCTATTTCGCCCGAACAGGTCCGGACATTTTATGTTCCCATTTATTTTTTTTTATTTAAATTGCTAAGCTTTTCTTCATTGAAGCGTGATGTTTAATTTGCACGAAGGAGTGTGCAGCGTGTTGTACATGTAAACACATAGTTTGTAATTCCACTCGGGTTTCCTCTATCCATTTTTTTTTTTTCCCCCTGTTGCGCTTATTCAAATCGACACTGTCGTTATGGGGATGCAAAACAAATTTCGAAGCGAAAACATTGAGGAGAACAGCACCCCTCCTCTATGGTCACTTCTTTACCTATTTAATTTTGTGGCGAAGAAATTAAAGCGCACAGAATAAGAGAAATCGGGAAAAATAAAGCGAGATGCCCTCAAAATCGGGCACACGGGTTTATGACATTGCTTTTTTGTGAATGCGCTGACCAGAAGGAGCTAACACATGATCCATCGCTCGGTCGTACACCACGTCACACCGGTCAAACTGTACAACTGTGGGGAAAGCAAAGTCTTTATAGCAAGTGGCTGGCTTAGCTTTTTTTTTTTTTTGTTGCATTTTTTTCCTCCTTCCCCTCCGCACGATGATCAGACTGGACGTTTTCAGGTTGGCCAAAATGGGGCCGAGTAAGGGGAAGGGGCCACTCATCGCAAAATACGCTCCTGTTGGGTTCAAGAAAGGATTCGGGGCTATCGGACTGGGAAGGCACACGAAAAAGGGTAAACTCTTGAATCAGGGGTGGAGCTTGCGTGGAGTGGTATTTCACGTGCCGTGCCGTCTTGGAGCTGCTGCCCCAAGAGAGAGACATAACCTGATATAAGAAAACCGCCATTCCTTGCAGGTGTGCTACATATAATGTGTACAGTTTTTTTTTTTACGTTGTTCTCCCTTTTTTAGGCTTCTTTATTATTAACAAAATGTTGGTGCCCAACTTTCGCGTCCCAGACCTCAGCGATTGCAAAGTAAGAACGAGAACTTGAAGGAGAGAGAAAAAAAAAAACAAAAACCAATGTGTACCTGTGTTCACATTTTGGTGAAACGGCAATGTGCTTCTCAACACATGAGTGAAGACTGCGCGTTAAGAGTTGCAGTGATATGAAACGGACATATAGGACACGTGTCATACCGATGCCTTTTTTTTCCATTGTGACAAACATAAGTCTCCCATCCGGATGAGTAGCTGTCCCTTTTTGAAACCCTCTACAGTGGCTTCTACCATCTGCGTTTATAACCTCCCCTTTTAACGTAAATAACGAATGAAAAATAGCTTTCTCTTTTTTTTTTTTTTTTACGGGGGAACCCTATATTAGCTAAAACCATATGTCTCGAAGAAAACGCCCCTGATCGTGATGAAGAAGCAGTTGGGCCCTCGCAGAAAAATCCTCAACTGAATTACGCAAATGGTGCCTACACCCTTACACACTTTTGGCGCCATTTATTTGTCGCACATTTATTTGCTTTTTCCTTTGTGGTGATTTTTTTTTTTTTTTTTCCCCTTCGAACGCCGAGTGCAGAGCGTCCTCACATGTATATATATCCCCCTGGTGTGGTTAAATTAAAGCACGCCAAACAAATCGCAAGTTTAAAATCTGCCAAACGTTGATACATGCCTTCTCGCATGCATGTGTACCGTTTTTTTCTTTTTTCTTTCATTTTTGTTTTGTTTTTTTTCTTTTTTAAATTGAATCCTTCCAACGCGTACCATCGGTAAAAGAAAAAAAAAAAAAACGGTGAAGCATCATATGAACTGTCGTAATGAAGCACATTAACGCAATGCACTGAAGAAATGGCCGCCTAAACGTCGCTTCGGCGCACCTGTAACGCACGAACAAACATAGCACAAAAGGGGATAAGACCAGTAAGGTCGCGGACCCCCCAAACATGACGCTGCCAACGAGCGACACACAAATCTCACTTGTGCTGACCAACAGCAACCGGCACAAAAGCACCGAGGAGGCTTTACAATTCTGTTGCAAAGACGAGGAGACACACCCGGGTAGAGACATTTCCCACAGGAGCCATGCTAACAAACACGACAAAGACGATGCGAATTCCATAAGGGAAGAACTTCTGGGCGAACTACTCTACATAGGGGTCATCATCAAGTGCGTCAATTATAAATTACACTCCAAGGAAAAGATTAAAAATTGGTTAAAACAAAACGAAAACTATCAGGTCCATGTGGATATAGTACTCGTGAGTGACAATGGGGTGGAGGTATCCGCACTGGCACATAAACTGCATTTTCAGGAGGAAAATTATTTCGCTAGTGAACAAAGAAGAGTACACAGGAGGGGGTTGTGCAGGAGAAGGGCTTCACCTCACAACGGGAGGGACCCCATTTATGGGGTAGACGAAGGGGCAGAGAAGAAAGCGCAAACCAGTTGGACAGGTGTAGGGGAAATTTCATCACAGATGGACCAAGATAAAATATTATTCCCACTAGATAATCACAAACAGACAGACGAAAATATTGAAGAGCTTCTGTTTGCAACGGAGGAGCAGTACCAAGTGGAAGGGCTCATTTATTTTATGGAGTTACCACTGACCATTGCTCAAAGGTACCTCAATAAAGAACTACTGGTAAAAGTCCAGCTGTGTGAAAGCCCCAAAGTGGATAAAGGCAAGAGTGGGAACTCCTTCCTCAACGATAAACATGTGAATGACTTGAGAAATATTTTCAACTACCCGTCTCTGCTGCTGAGCAACGTGCAGTGGTCGTCTACCTTCACATCCGGCATGGCGCTCGAATGGGAAAAAAAAAGGAAAAAAAAAAAAAAAAAAAAAAATGGAGAAAATATCGGTGATGCTGGCCACTACGAGGAGGCGGATGATGATGGTGAGGAGGACGACGATGATGATGACGCCGACCGCGACAGCAACCCCTTCCCGCACAACGGCGAGGATGTACAAAGCTTCCCACCCAACCTTAACATGCACAGCATATGCAAAGGCATCAACAAGCTGGAAGAACACGTGCACAGCTCCACCTACGCACACAAGGATTTAAAAAAAATAATTTTAACCAAGCAAATCGTCGTCACCAAGCCTCTCAACATAAAGTGTAAAATAATGGAACCCTACCTCTACCTCGAAATACAGAATATAACGAAACAAAACACATTGCACATTCACGAATTTTTTTCTAGATCGGTGAACATTGACAATAGTGACGCCTTTCCGTTTTCTCTCCTCCCAGAAGAGACTTACAGTCTTTACCTTCCGATTGTAAACTTCGCGCAGGTCCTCTCGCAGAAGAGTTCCCAAGACAGAGAGAGGGTCAGGAGCTCCGTGCGCAGCTCGGTCCACACTGTTGATGTGAATACTGGCCTACAAAACACTCTCCACGGAATCGATACAGGTGCTTCATTGTATAACCCCTTCTTCCTCACCGCAGAGGGAGGGACTTCTCACCAGATGGGCAAGCGCCGCAGCAGTGATGCACAACTGCGGGCAAGCCAACTTGTAGACCTCACGAAGCGATTCAAGAACAGAAATCATATTTCTTCCTCTCCATTTGAACAAAAAAATAAACGTTTGTCCTTCCACTTCCAAAGCGACAAGAGCATCATCACTCTCTCCATCAAATGGAGCATAGACGAGACTCCGGATAATTCTATATGGTCCCAATATTGTATGGAGGTGGAAATGCCAAAACCGCACACCTTCAGCCTTGAAGTTTCCTTCGTAAAGGAAATCAATTCTTCCTCCGTGCTTATGGCCGTCTTTTCATTTTATAACCCTCACCACGAGGAGATAGATATTCTGATGGAGATGAAAGATGAGAGTGGTGCCCTAAACAACGACGTTCACAATTCCCTCATTTCCTGTAGCTCGATAATCCACGTGGGTATTATTAAACCATTTCAGCGCAAGTCGGTCAGCGTACGCATGCTCGCCATTATGTTCGGGGTGCACAACGTCCCCTTCGTTAAGATTGTCAATCGGGTGACCGACACTGCGTATTATGTCGACTTAGGATCCATCCTCGTCACGGAATAGGCCTCCCCATACGCCGTCACCCGTTGCACATTTTGAAGGAGTGAAAAAGGGGTGTTTGCACAGTGCCCCGCGGGGGTCGTTCGGCTAGCAGCCCATCCATGTTGTTAACAGTCTATTTTGTTACCTTCCCATGTTTTTTGTGTGTTTTTTTTTTTTGCTTTTTTTTTTTTCGCCAACTTCCCCCCATTTGAGCCTCCAAAGGGGGACGAAAAACTGCCGAAATATATGTCAAACTACTCGACTCCAAATAAACTCCACCCTTTCACACGAGGGAACGAAAATGCTCACCATCACGCGTAAACATGTGTGCACCGTGTCCTCTACAACGCGGACAGAAAAAAAAAAAAAAAAAAAAAAAAAAAAAAAAAACTTTCCGAACGTGTTTTCCACATACAATCAATATATAAAAGCAACAGTTTCGAAAAACCGGCCCTTCATTTGTTTCACCCCAATGCGCTTCTTCCTTTTTCGACCAATCATAAGTGCTCATAAATATAAAAATGGCGTCTTACCAGAGGTTGTTTCTCCCCCTACTACTGCTGCTTCTTGCTCTTATGCACCATTTGTCCATCCCACTCTTCTCATGCGGAATTTTGAATGAAGCTACTTCCCCCCTAGCTGGCCGTTCCAGCGATGCCAATCAACATGCTGAAAAGACGCAACTAATAAATTCCATAAAAAAAAAAACCAACCAAATTAGAAAAATGTATAACGCATTAAACAAGAAAAACGTAACCCTACCTCTTTACCTTTTTGCAAATGACAAAGATGAGGAAAAAAGACAAATGCTGAAGGATCTCTTCTTGAGGGGTCACATGGATTTCCTGCAGGGCCTCAACACCCCTTTGTCGAAATACTACCTGTCCATGCGTAGCACGAGGAGGGCGCACCGGTAGGTCTCTCGCCACTGCCACAAGCGGACTCTACGCTCACTCTACGCGGAGTCTACTCCGACAACAGTACGGAAATGGGATGGAGATGCACAGCCAACACACCTCCCTATACACACCGCTCAGCACACAAGTGGACACAAAAATACGCAAGGAACGGGACCTCATCAACGGTCTAAGCTTGGAAAATAAAAAAAGACACGGTAAGTCAGGGCACCTCAACGCGAATCCGTTTTGCAGCAGCCACAACTGGAGAGAAAAAAAATAACGCTGCATTTGATTGAACCGGGAAAGTTCCGCACCATTTTTATTCCCTCCCCACAAATGAGCATGCAAACTTTTCAGTTGAGGAAAAACTGCGGGAGTATCGATTTTTAAAAGCCAACCTTCTGCAGCTGCACTCTACCATAGGTATGGGCTCCGCAGTTACAACAGCCCTAATCGCTTCTGGCTAATATGCTGGGTGGCTTGTCTTTCATCCTGCCCCACTCACAATGAGCCTGTTACGCTGCGTTGTTATGGTTTTTTTTTTTTTTTTTTCGCACTCTTTCGCTTCATTCACCTGTACCCCTTGCAGAGAAGCGCTTTAAATCCGTGGAGTCACTAATGGCCCGCTTGGACATGAACACAGAAAATTAAAAACAACAAAGTGTCATATTAAACACAAGGGTTCTGCACCCACATTGTAAAGTAAATTTTTCAAGCACATTTCTTCAACACGTGCAAAGGGAGCAAAAATGAACACTTCACCATTTGAAAGTGCTTGGGACAGTCCTCGCTTGTTCCATCAGGGGCTGTTAGATTGGCCCTACCAAGCGGGTACACCTGCGAACGCAGCGTCTATTGTCCACAATTTTGTTTTTCCCCCTGAGGAGACGTTAAATGTTTACGTATTGTTTGTCCCCCTCAAAAAAAAATTCTCCACTGAAATGGTGCATTCAATATATCGTGTTGCTTATTTTTTTTTTTTTTGTACGCATGCGGTGTCATCTCAAGCAAACATTCTAACCTCACTGCGCATGTTTGCGTGTGGGGACGAACTCAAAGAGGGTTCCTCATAGAAGTGCAGAGCACGCAGCTCCTTCCCAGTGAACGTAATAACAATTGACACTTGCTACAACGAATTGTCATGTTGGGGTCAGCTCCGATGCAATGAATGTCGGGATAAGAATTTTGTGTCCACTCCTCCCTGTTGTGCTCTTTTAGAAGCAAATTTGCAAACATACTTACGAACAGATTTTACAAACACAAGTGCCTGCGTCTTCGGCTAACACCTCTCCAATGGGGCTCACCCGTATGAGTTAAGCATCCCGTCAGCAACGCCACCCACACCAATTCCTATTCTCCCTAATACATGGAAGGTGCGCATAAAATCCCAATTGACTTATTGCCAAAGGGGGGGTCACACCATTACAGGTCAGCACGACGGAAACCCACGGGGGAGAGAAGAATACTCTTCTCCCCGTACCACCATGTACTTGTAATAAACGCATACACATATTCAACAGATGGGTATTTATGCGAACAAAACGAGCAAGCTGAAATACGCCTTTTAACTCGTGCATTCACATGAGAAGTAATCCCGTTGCGGGGGGGAGAAGTGAAAGTTGTGCAACTTTTACACACGCGGAAGCGTTATTTATGGGTATGCATACCCTAAGATGATCCGTATAGGTCATCCACATATAAATGTACGTGTTCGTTTTTTTTTTTCTTCACTGGGGTGTGTAGAAACAGCACCCACAACTACAGATGTAAACCCCTGCAACGGGTAAGCCCCCCTTTTTGTAACCCTACTCTAGTATTGACATCACAAACAACCTGCGCTTAGCACTGTCATCACTTTGGAAGATGTAAACAAGCTTGACCATATTCTACATATTTTGCGCCTCATGTGAGGTGCTCCACTTGGAATTTTTTTTTTTTTTTTCTCTTCGTTTGGATAGCTCAATATAATATAATCGTCCCGTGGAATCATTCTCGCCCCCGAGGCCGAAACCATCTCCTCTTTCCCGTCGCGGCAAAACCGACGTCGCCCGCAAAATGAAGGAGACCTCAAAAAAAGGCGAGATGCATAATTTTCTCTTACCTTCATATTGTTACATTAGGCAAACATATACAATGGTACCTACATATATTATACGCCCCGTTTCGGGTTACCTTACCAACTCCGTTTTTTTTTTTTTTCCCCTGTGAACTGTACCTTCCGCTCTTCCTTAATAATTCCTTGCCAACCCCATGGGTTTAACAAAATCTACCTGCTGTCGCTTCGCTTCCTTTTTTGAGCCCATGTACGCGGGAGGGGCGCAAGTATCGGACGTCGCTCTGCAGTAGTCGGGTAGGTCAACCGTTTCTTTTTTTTTTCTCCTCGGGGCAGGCCAGCCGTTTTTCCCCCTTCATCCCGCGCCATGCTCGAGAGGGTGAAGAAGGAAGGAGAACCCCCCTTTCCCCAGGGAAAAAACAGAGCGCCCTCTACAGAGCTCCTATCCCCCGTTTAGAAGGCCACCGTGGCGACGACCATGGCGCCAAAGCTTTCTTGCACCGGAGGGAGAGAGCACTGAAATGTGATGGTAAAAGCACCGCATATTGCATTAAACCATAATAATATAATTATGCATGTATTTTGTAGGTGCTATGCGTTTTATGTATAACTCAAGTATTAAAAACAGCGGCCTTGATAAAACATTGGTCGCTTCTCATTGCGGTCATTGCAAAGGTTTTCCCCGCCCGCATGTACGTAAGGGACATGCATACCGTGGTACCATGTTAAACAATGTGACATGTAAAATTGATAATAAGCACACGTGACAATACCCTTCGCCTATACTTACGTACCTTTGGGCACGTACTACACGTATTTGTAAGCTTATTATAAAAGAATATAAAAATAATCTTTTTAACCGTGCGCGCACTGAAAGTACAAAAAAAAAAACAAAGAAAAAAAAAAAAAAAAAAAGGCATTCATGCGTGAAATGAAAAAATAAAAATAACTTTTCCTTTTTTAATCATTTCATAAAAGAGATATATATATATCCCGTACTTTTATTGTAGTATATTGTGACTTTCACAATTAAGTGACTTTTTTTGCCTTGTAATTTTTGAAAGCCGCTTATACAGGCGATTTCGAATAGCAACATTTTATTTGTAGTACCAATTTTTTAACGCCAGAAAAAAAAAAAAAAAAAAAAAAAAACGCCATTTTGTGTGGTACGGCGTACTTTGAATAGTCAGTACATGCAAGTACGTTGAACGCATTTGTGCTATCTTTGCTATGCTTGACATGCTATGCTCACGCGCATAAATGCCAAAGTTTATATATGTTAACTTTCTCCAACTTATTTTTCAACGCCGCACAATTGTGCGAATACTTTTTTTTTTTTTTTTTTTATCTCCACGTATATATATATATATAAGCCCGCGCCATCCCCACTTCCACGCCAACTGCCGCTAGCACAGCAGTAGCACGCCTTTTTTTTTTTTTTTCCTCATCTTGGCTGGAATTTTTTTTTTTACCTTTTTACGTGATGAAATAAAATGTTTACCTTGCTAGCTCTTACCGAGGAAAACAGAATTTAGCGAAGTGGCGAAGCAAAACTGACCAAGTGAAGCGAACAATGCTGATCGAGCAAAATATAAAAAGCAGTTCAAAAAACGAACCATACGAACCGCTTAAACGGACGAAACACCAAAACTCCAAAAACGCGCAATACAGTCAAACGTTAAAGCAAATAGAGTAAAAGAAAGCAACCCGGTCACACCAGGCCAACCCATGCTACGTCGCCTTCCCATTTGCCACCCAATTTGTGAAAACATTGCGGGCAGCGATCGTTGGCAGTAGTTACAAAACACCTTTTAACGTTCTACATACGGACTTTTGCCTCCGTGTATTCGTAAAAAGGAGTATGCGCGAAAGGGAGGAAAAAAAAAAAAAAAAAGCAACGCATAGTAAACACCGGCCGGAAAGGAGCAACACAAAAAAAAAGGCAGCAGTCTAGTCCCTCTCCGACATAGAAAAAAGAAAAAAAAATATATATATATTGGCCAATTAATGCGTGCTGAGGAGGAAAAGTATACATATACGTTGCACATATTTACGTGGGCATACTTTATGCACATGTGTGTATGTGTGTAATGTGGTATCCTCCTGAAGCAGTCCATTAAATTGTTTGCATCCATATGTAAGTACTTACCCCCTTCTATACCTGCTTAATTTTATTATTATTATTATTTTTTTTTTTTATATTTCCTCCGCAATCTCCCCCTTTTGTGTTTCCATCTGAACCATTACACATACGTCAGTCCTTACTAATTCAGTTGTGATAACGAGCATCTGTGTTTTATACGAAAACGTTTAAGACCAGTGTGCTCTGTGTTCATATGCCCCGTTTCATTCTACGAGGGCGTACGACATTTCTCCCGCCAGAGAGCACGTCCAGTTGCAGTGCGAGGGAATGCCCATCTGAGGTCTAGAGACGCCAAACGAGTAAAGTGACGAGCAAGCGTAACGAGTGAACGTAACTGACTGCCGTAATTGACAAACGGGCCGATAAAGTGACCCTCCCTAAATACCCCCTTGAGCAAGAACACAACTCGACACAAATTACTACAACGTCATGGACGAAAGCAACGTGGCCGAGGAGGCCGTGCAGAGCCCTGCACAAGAAGAGCAAGCAAATGAGCAAAAGGAACAAAATGAGGAAAACGCACCAAGTGGGGAAAATTCTCCCAATGAAGGAGAAAATGTCCCCAGTGGAGAAAAGACACTAAGTCCAGAAGATTTCCTATATGACGAAAATAAAATTGTTTACACAAAGAATGAATTCCTTTACGCGTACGTTGAATTGATCCTCAATGAGAAGGACTTGGGGGAAGACCACGACGTCCCCTTATGCAGCAACCAATTTAAGTTCCCCGAGTTACTTAGCGACGTAAGAAAAGGGGACGATGAAAACAACCAGTTGGGAGGTGAAGAAGGAGATAATGGATACATGAAAAGTAACGCACTTGGTGATGAGGAAGATGGAGGAGGTGCCTACAATAAGCAGCACTATAGAAGTTTTGCAGACAGAGCAGGCGCCTCTTCTTCAGGCTTTTTCAACAACGAAAATGACAGAGGAAGAATTAGAAATGACTTTTTCACCAGGGATAGTAATAACTTTATGAACAAGAATAATCTTCAAGATTCGACCGACTCTAATAATCCAAGGAACAACCAGAACAGGAGGAGCAACCATTTGCTAAAGAACAACAGGTTTATTAAATTCTTCGAGGGAGGCAATGCAGGCGCGTTTAACAACGGCGCAAACAACGGCGCTAACAATGGAGTTAATAATGGCGTTAATAGCGGCAGTAATAGCGGCGCCAATAACAGCGCCAATAACAGCGGCAACCAACCCTATGGAGGTTCAAAAAATCAGTTTGAGGCTGTCTTAGGGGAAAACGCCAACCGAAACAACTTCACCAGGAAGACCAGTTTCCATGCCGATGGAAATAATCCCGCCTTCATGGGCCAAAACAATACCGGCAATAACGCCATGGGAAGTGGTCCCATGGGAAGCGGCCCCCTGGGAATGAACGCTGCAGCCAACAAAAACCTGTGGAGGGAATTCGATAAAGGCATTTCCTCATGGAGATGCTCCAAAACAAACAACAAGACAAACGAAAATGTGAAAAATGATCCTAAGATAAGAGGTCCTGGCAAAGGGTTTACCAAAAATTTTGCGGACAATGTAAAAATGACTTCACCTTCCGCACAAAATTCAGACGATGAAAATGATAATAATAATAATGATGTGGCGAGAAATATGAACAGGAACAACTACCCCAAGGACAGAGCAGGACCGATGCACATGAAGAGGGAAGACATGTTTAATGACCATCCCTTTGCATACAAAAATTTGAATATGCCAAATAATATGGGTCAAACGAACAACAGCAGTGGTGCTTTTATTAACCACTTCAACAACAACAACAACAACTCCAGTGGTGGAGGTGCATATAGCTACCACATGGGAGGAAATCCCATGGGACGCCATGCACAAGACAATAACGACGGAGTACGTAGCAACGCAGCTGGTGTAGTGGGAGACACCACCAACAAAAGATCAGTAGAAAATGCCCCTAACTTGTTAAACCATTCGAGTGGACAAAACAAGAACCTCAATTTTACCTCCCCCTCTTCTGCATTCTATGGTAATAAAGGAGCTGGTAACAATAGTGGGCCCAAGAAAGGTTACAATGATATGCACACCATGATCGGTACTAACGCCACGGGTAGCAACGCAGCCTTCCTCTCATCTGGTAGCGGCATGGCAGGCATCAACAATGTCAACGCAGCTGATGAGTGGAAAATGAAAAAATACAAAAAAGTTCCCGCAAGTGGTAACAACCAAGAGCAGCAACAACAACAACAAACACGCATGGGGGAAGAGAAGGCCAAGAGAGGAGGAGATGGCCGAAATGAATTTACTAATATTTTTATGAACAAAGGTAACGAGTCTAACAAGATAAACATGCATGGCATGGGGTCCGTGCACGATATGAATTTGTACAGTTATGGTGGAAACAGTGCTACTGGATCCTCTGCTCTTGCTGGAGGAATGCACTCAAACGTGACTCACAATGTGAAGGGCAGCGGAGCTGGTAATTTGACCAAGGCAAATATAACTAATAGTAACATGACGGATGGAAGAGGCGGCAACCACACTATTAGCGAAATGAATAGGACTGGGGTAAATGACACATCCGATGCGCTGCTTAACAGTATGGGGAGGAAAATGGGCAGAGGTGAACCAGGAATGGGAGGCAACTTCAATGCGCCTCATGAAATGATGAGGGGTCCACCTGGCCACACCAGTGGCAATGTAGGTGGTGGAAATAATCACGGCGGTATTGGAAGTACCCCCTTTAATGTGAATCGAAATGCAAAGGGAAACCAAAAAAGAGATAATAAAAATGACAAGAACGTAGGGGAAGATGATTGGAGCAACATAAGAAGAAAGTCCAGCTTTGTTGACACGAAGAAGGCGACAGACGATTTCATGTGGCACAAAATGAGCGAGCAATTTGATAAGAATAATAAAATGTCCTTCGACTCGGTTTACCTCAAAACAGATCACAGCATCGCGGCCAACCTAAGCCGAGGTAGAAACTATGATCAGAGCACTGGCATGAAGAATGAAAAGAAGGACGGCAGTACAGAGGGTAGTAGTAACCACACTCTTGGTGGCAACGTTGGAGGTAATGCCTTTTCTGCACTGAAGGGAAAGAAGGGAAACGATGGCTCCTTGCTGGGTGTTACACCCAACAGTGCAGGATTAAAGTTGAATGAGCAACAGAAGGGAGCCTCCAATCTTCACGTCTTGGCGGAGGACAAACCTGGTGATGGAAGCGGAAACAACAAACTAACGGCGGAAAAAGGGAAAAAGAAGAAGAAAGGAGATAAAGATGGTGGAAAGGGTGGCGAAAAGAACCAGGAAAAGGACAAGCAAAATGGGAAACAAAATGGGAAGCAGAACGGCAAGGACATGCCCACGGCACAGGGAATGGAGGACCAAAACAGACAAATGAAAACCCCCGGCGAAAATGTTAAAATGAACCCTAAGGAAACAAGTAATGATAATATATATAATTCATTTCATGAAGAAAATAATTCTGCACTTCATGAAAGCAGCTACTATAAATTTGCCCTTAATGAAAAAAAATATGTCCATAAGAATAATAACCTTAACTTTAACCCTAATCCTAACCCTAATGTTAATGTTAATATTAATACAAATAAAAATAAAAACCTTAATGGAAAAAAGGAACTCATTTTTAATAAATTATATGATGTTGATAAAATCAATTTACAGGAAGAACATAGGGGAATGATGATGGTTGCCCACAAAAGTGATGAGCACGACCTGTGCAGAGAGCCCAGTCAGCAGCCTTACCGCAACATGGGTGGTTCTTCCTCCGCGCATCCACAGCAGCAACAGCAACATACATACGGCGGCCTACTCCAAACGCACGGTTCTATCATCGGAAAAACGGACAAGAGAAATTTATTTGACACCAACAAGAATACCAAACCCGGCTACCCGTTCCAGGAGAAGGAGAACAACAGCAACCTCAACGAACGCTACTTCTTATCCAATCGCTACGCCAAGTATGACCAATTTAAGAACAGGAAAATTTCGGAAGACAGGGAAAGCATGATTGGGAACATCCCCCAGGAGAGTCTCCTGCACAAGATTAAGCGGAAGAACATGAGCACTGTACACAGCATGAACAATGTGAGTAGTAACCCGAATGATATACGTACGAACAATTTACACAGCCTGGAAGGCACGGACCACACGAGCAATGTAAACAATAGCGGTGTTAATGGTAGCATTTTTCCTCACCAGAACAATCACAAGGATCACGGAGGGGCCCTCCCCATCAGTCACATAAATGAACAGTTTAACCCAAATCAACTCTTGAACAAACGAAACGGTAGTTTAGTTGACCTGGTCAGTAACCCTAACTGTATGGACGAATCGGTCAGCAGCAGTAACATGTCGTACCTTCTGTCCGTCATGAACAACGCAGAGACAGCAGTAGGAGCAGCAGCAGGAGTAGGCGGTGTCACCGGCATGAGATCCACGCCCACCACTACGAATAGGAACGGAAGCGCCGTACTTACCAATGCAGTGAAGGGAGGTGGAAGACCCGCCCACCTCAATCTAAACCAACCCCATATGAACAACCAGAAGTACTACACCACAGCAGATATTGATAGAAGCAGTGAAGAAGGGGCAATGGACAAGGAACAGCTAACGATGATGGAAAAACAAAATATCCTTTTAAAAAAAATGATGAGCAAAATTAAAATGGATGAAAATATGTACAACAAATTAAGCGATAATGAAAAAGAAGAATTGCTAAAGGAGCTAGCTTTAACCAATGCTAAACTTGTGGACCCATATGGATATGCTCAGGAAGATACATCCCCCCTGCTTAGCATGGTGGGAAAAAATCTGTATCACCCTGCTACAGGTAGTAGTAGTAGTGGTCTTGAAGGGACACATCTCAATTTGAAGAACACCACCAGTAACATGGAGCTTATGAAGCACATGTATGACAGCAGTGCCGGTGTGAAGGACAGGAACAGTAGATCCAATATAGCCACAACAAACATTGCTGCCTCCCCCTTCGGGAATAATTACTCTAAAGGGCAGGCAGAGGACGAACTGGCTCGCTATCGCCACGACGGTGAAGACAATGGCGAGGATGGCAATAAGGACCAGTGTAACTTGAAAAATAATATTAATCATCATATGAGCAAAAATGAGGCATTTTCTTCCTATGCACAGGAAGTGGAGTGCGCCGGGAGGCATGTCCTGTATGAGGACGGAAAGAGGAGAACGGCACTAGAGGAGGGAGAGAAAGAAGAGCATTCGGGTAAAATTGCTGGTGGGCACTCGACTAGCCAAGAAAACACCTCCCCCCCCACGCAGAGTAACGAGAAAAGCTCCTTCATGAATGTAAGTAGGTGGCTAAAATACTTCAGCAGCAGTAAGGGCAAGGAGCAGGTGGAAAACGCTCACGTAGCAGCAAAGGAGAAGGTCATGCAAATGAATGAAGTACATCAAATGCATGAGAGCAATGAAGGGAGCTGTACTGATAAGGGAACCCCATCTGCAGGAGCAGCAGCAGGGGTAGCAAGCGCATATGGTTATAACAACCAAGGAGCTATCACCCCAGGGAGAAGAGCTCCTCCACAAAAAGGTCACAACAACAATAGTGCTAACTACACAGGAGATTCTTCAAAGCATTTGCATGAAGAACCGAAAATTGTAAATACTATACTGGGTGCCATGAAAGAGGAAAAGAAAAGTCAACCATACGACAGGGTGGATATTATTTCCTCCCCCCCCTGCCCTCTTAACGAAAATGTTAGCAGCGGCATACCCACAGCGCGTAACCTCTTAGCTGATTTTTCACACAAAGGAATGAACTCCACTGGAGAAGGCCCACACAAAAGTAGAAACAACCAAACCACCGCGGATATACCCAACAATGAATACATACACATTATAAACAGAATAAATAAAATAAGAGGAGACGTGTGGCAGTACAAAGACCCCGCAGGAAATGTGCAAGGGCCATTCTCATCAGAGTTAATGTTCTACTGGTGGTCCTTGAAATATTTTCCACAAAACTTACCCATTCGATTTAAAGAAAATATGCCTTGGATTAGCTTCAACGAAATGTTCCCTCCAGGGACGTTTCCTTTTGTTCTTCCACTGACTAGCTTTTCTAAGAACAATTACAACCTGCTCATGAAAAAAGATAATGAACATTCTTCTTCTGCTCAGCAGAATAACGACCTTGCCAATAGTATGGAAGGTTTTAAAAGGAGGTCCTGTTTGGAAACGGAACCTTTGGTAAATAATCACCTGAATAGTGGTGGCCAAGGGACGAGCGACACGAACAATTACCTCTACGTGAATGCCACTGCTACCCAGTTGAACCATTTGAACTATGTGAATCATTTGGTGAAAAACCAGGATAATTTATCAGGCAAGGGTTACAACATTGATCTGGCAGAGGGAGCAACAAAAACGACCTCCATGTACAATGACCAAGAGTATGTAGACCCGCGCGATGGAGGGAAAGCCAAATCGGAAGGCCTCATACCAGAGAGAGGAGCAGAGAGAGATACGCGGGGAAGGACAGTAAATTCCACCAGTAGTGGTAGCAGTGCTCGCACCGATAAAGAAGTTACTGATGTGGAAAAGTACCTCCTCTCGGATGACGATCGTGATGATCATGTTAAAAAAGCAACTCAAACATACAAAGCGAGGGGGAATGTACAGAGTCAGCATAATTACGCGGGAGCGCATCACTCGGGAGTAGTACCTTCCGTCTCCACATCAGCAGGGATAGAGGCGCAGAAGTTTCCCCCATATTACAAAGAAGGGGCAAGAGCCATGGATAATTCGTTACACCAGAACAGAGGCGATTTTAGTACATTGCATCCTAGTGACCCCCACCGTGACACGAAATTACCCAGCGGGGACAAAGGGGCAGTTCTTCCACATGAAGACGGAGATCAAGATCCCTTTGCCAAGACAATCAGATGGATGCCGGAAAAAATGACAAATTTTCCAAAGATGTTCGAATTTGCTCTTAACGCAGAGGGGGAAGGAGCAGAGGAACAGAATGAGATACAAAAGGAGATAGGGGGAAAGTTACCTCCAGGTGCAGTCCCTGCCCAACTACAAAACAATGGTGTGGCACTCCGAAATAAAAATCAGCACAGAGCTGGCGATGAAGAGGTATCTACAAAACTTCGTGACAATAAGACGGGTAGCCCTAGTGATAAGCAAATGAACAAATATACGGTTAGCCATTCTCCCAATGCGAAAACTACGGTGAAGAGCGGTATAGAACAACCCAGTGATAAATTCAACACACAGAATAAGAGTAACAACGTGCTGGTGAGTGACGACACCCTACCCTCTCCAACTGAGGCAAACGCTAAACGAAACGTCGCCCACCAGGAGGGCGGCGGAAAGGCTAAGACGAAAATGGTCCCATCCGCTGGCGGAAGCGGAAAGCAAGCTAAGGGCAGCAAGGCCACTGCGGGGAAAATAGAGGAGGAAGAGGACAACAGTGAGGAATACGCCACTGTTAAAAAGGACAAAAAGGACAAGAAGGATAAAAAAGGAAAAAAGGAAAAGAGCGAAAAGGGAGAAAAGGCAGACAATACCGGTAAAGCAGATAAGGTGGAAAAGACAGAAAAGAAAAAAAACAAGATCAACGAAAATGCCAAAGCAAAGGAAAAGAACCATCATCAGATGGATAAACAAAATGACCCAGACATGACCAGTGAGATGGGGATGAAGTGGGAAGAGGCAAAGAAAAAGAGAAAGGGCGATCATATGGTTAAGGCCAAAGCTGATGAAGGCGAAAAGGAGGTAACGAAAAAGAGTAACAACACTAAAAAGAAGAAAAAGGAAAGTGGTACAGAGGTGGTAGGTAAGAATGGAGATGCGCGCCTACCGCAACAATCCGAGTACGAAGAACAGCAGCAGCGCGAGAAGAAGACCAAGAAGGAGGCAAAGAAAACTGATGCCAACAAAGCGGGAACTCCCATCACCCCAAACACTGCCACCGCGACCACCGCGGCCAGCCCCAAGGGGACCGAAAAAAAAACAGAAAAAATGAAGTGGAGTATAACGGGCGAGAGAAAAATCGACAAGCTGGTCGACATCATGAAGGGAGAACAGAAGAGTGTAAATATGCAAATAAAAATGGAAAATTCAAAAAAAAAAATGGCAGCCAATGCTAATGGAAATAACGCAAGTGGTGCAAATGGCACGGTGAAGAAGTCCGGCTGGGATGTCTCCTTCAGCACAAATGTGAAAAATTCAGACAATGTAAATTTTCCGCATTTGTTGTCCACAGGAGGAGCAAACAAACAAAGCAAAGCAAAGGCTGGGGCGAAAGGAAGCCTACCAAATAAAGTTAGCTCCCCGAACAAGGACAATGCAAACACGACTACCAATGGTAGTGGTGGAAGCCTTGTCCCTTCCTCAATGGCAGTCCATAACAATAACGCCAAAGGAGGAAGTGTGGGCGCGAAGAGCAACACAGATGCGTCTGGTAAAAAACAGAGTGAGAAGAAAAAATGGAAAAGCGAAAGCGGCGATATGCAGCTGAGCGAGGAGGACAAGAAGTTCCCACCTCTCGTCAATTCTGCGTCTGTCAAAGGTAAGGCTGATTTGTCTTAGTGTGAACCCTATGTTTTGGTAGCGGTTTACTTCTGCGCGGTTTTCCTTTCTCGTACTGTTTGTCCTTGTTTGCGCAACCCATGCATGTGTCGCTTACTTTATACACACGTCGTGCCTTCTTTTCCCCCACTCTTCAGTCGAAAGCACCAAGAAGAAAACGAACAATAACAACAACACCGAGCGGGAACTAACAGGTATAGAAACGCCTTCCCACGTGATGCCACAACATTAATTGAACACCCCGCAGTGTATAACTTCCCCCACTTTTTATTTCCCTTCTCACCCTGTTAATACTTTTTTTTTCCCACCAACTTACAGACCTGAAGCAACTGACGAGCATGTGCAAGCTCCCCCTGGACGACTCCCTCTTGAACTTTCTAAAGAACTTCAAGAAGGCGGACGAAATTTACGCCTTCCTCCAACACAGCGTGGAAGATAAAAAGAAGCTGACCCAGTTTGCCAAGGAGTTTATAAAAATAAACAGCAAAAATGATGTGAGTGCCCAAACGGCTAAGAAGAAGAAGTAGCCGCGACACCCAATCAGCTCAGTAGAATTAACCGCGCTGAGTTTGTTTTTTTAAAATAAAATTTTTTTTTTTTTTTTTTTTTGCGTTCCCATCGTTTCTTCATTAATGGTGAACTGCTCTGCTCCATCCTAGTGGAATTTTTTTTTTTTCTTCATTTTAACTTTCATTTGATTTCTTCACTTATCCCTTAACTCGTTAAAACAAAAAACAGTTCAACTGACACGTTGCCAACTGGCTTGCACACTTTGACTCGTGATAGTATAGCTTGTGCCCTCGCGCGTGTCACCTGCGTGAAAATACGCCTATGCACACGACGTACGAGGCTTTTGTGGGAGGACCAACACTGGGGATGCAGTGGGCCAATCATCATGCGGAAATGGTTCCGTGCAGCTTCAATACAACTGTGGAATTAAAACAAAGAAACGGTCATGCCGTTTCTTACGCAGCCCAAGTGGCATATTCCCACGTCGTGAAAAACATCAAGGGGAAGTGGCCTCTCCCTCTCCACAGGGGACAAGGAGCACCCTCATTGTGAACTAAAATTTATCACACGGTAAGCGGCGTATATAATATGCCCCTTTCTGAGTCACCGTCGCGTTAGAGCAGGTGGTCCCCTTTATGTGATGCTCCTGTGTATGTAGAGCAGGAGCAGGAAGGGAGCCACACCCTTTCCATCCCTACATTTTAGGGGCCCCAATTCACTGCTCCAACTCCAAAAATGGAGCAAAACGGGAAATATTGTAGCAACCATTTTTTATGACTCCCACGAAAAAAAAATGAAACGCCAAACAACCCTTCTATCGCCACTCGAAGGCGGCGCCAAACGCTGCCCCATGAAGAAGAGGCGCAGCAAATACTTTTCCAAAGAGAGTAGAAAGATGACCGGGAAAGAAAACACCCCCTCCAAGAGGACACATGATGGGGGAGCAGGAAACTACGCCATCCCCATTTCGACTAGTGTCTATAACTCGACCATTTTGCATGGGAAGCTTACGAGTGGAGAAGCAACGGGGGGGAAGGGACATGAATTGACGTCTGATCGTAGTACCCCCTATAGGTACCTCAAAAATAATGTAGAGGAAACTTCCCCCAGGACAAGCGATCAGACGAGGTTTGGAAGGGGGGGCACTTCCCCTCTTGATAAGGACAATTCTCTAAAGGTGAAATTTCAAAAGATAATCTCCACCTACCACACCTTTACCGAGCTGATGAGGAAGCTAAAGTTGAGTAACGAACAACTGGGAAAACATGCCAGCTGTCCTACATGCAGTAAGATTTCAGTCATTCTGAAGGAGGGGAAGTATGGAAACTACTTCGAGTGCACACAATGTCATGAGAGGGTCTCCAACAGGAGAGTAGAGGATTCCATTTTTGATGAACGAGAAAAAATGTTCCTTCAAAATAGAAAAAAAATCTGCTTCGAAATGGAAAAGCCAGACTCCTATCGCATTCACCACTTTGGAAACCTCGCCTTTGCCAACGACTTCAACAAAATCGTAAGCGACGTAATAAAGGAAGTGATAACCGACTTGAGGAAAATAAAAAGACGTAAAATAAAATATAGACATATTATAAAGTATATATACAAGATTAATACATGTGGCTCTTTCTTCGAATGTGCAAGGAGGACAAAACGGACATGTTTGCGTCCTGCAAGGCACGTTTGCTCCTCCTTCTCCCATAAGGGGGAGTCACACTCCATCTTCAAGTCCATTTGGTGGAGGTGCAACTTTTCACTAACCCGAAAAAGATGTGCAGCCCTCCTCAGGAAGAACAACTATGCGAAGGTAATGTCGAAAGGGGGCGACGAAGAACTGTACAATTGCACATTTGTAAACCATATTGAAAAGGGGAGGGAAAAAAAAAATAATAGCCATTTATTTGAAACTCTAATTGATAAGCATACCCAGTGGTACATAAACGGACGTGACTTCTTCGATGAGATGAAATATCTCCCATTGACTTGGAAACCCAGAAGGGACTACATACAGAGTGGAATCTTCCCCTTCCACCTGTCCAAAGATATTAAGAAAAAAGCCTCCTTTAGAAGACTCAGTGTTAACAATAACAGCTATCTCTGCGGGTGTGTCTTCGACCTCTGCTCCTACCCTCTAATGCTACGTTATTTTGTATTCCGCTTATACAACCAGTGCTTTGTGCATGAAATTCCCTCCTGCGTCTTCCACTACTTTGGGCACGTCTACCCGTGTGTAGGTCAGAAGACACATGTACATAAGTTTTTTTTAAAATGGAATTTCTCCACCGTAATGAGGACGACCTGCGCGAAGTATGAGCGAGAAATGGAGGAGTGTCACCAACCGGAGGAGTGCCTTGACGGAGCGCACGCACCACGCCGTCGTGTGACTGCTAACAGGGGAGGGGTAAGCGAATCAACCATTACCTACCCCCCCATGCACTCCTCCCAAGAACATAACCATATAACCAGCTCATACAATTTGGACGACCTAGCCAAATCCTCCTACCTTTTCAGTCGAGAAAAGCTTAGAGATCATATACTAAGACATCACTACGAGAAAAAAAAGCAAAAAGTTAAGAAAAAAATTTTGAAGGAAATTAAAACTAGGTGTCTTGAAGAAATAAAAAAAAAACTCCCCAGGAGGATTCAAAAGGTGATCCTACCATACCAGCTAAAATCTGTGTACTTTTTTAAAAAGCAAAATGGAAGAATATTAATTGCAGACGAAATGGGACTAGGCAAAACTTTGCAAGCCATTTGCATTTTCCACTTTTTTCGTCTTTACCCTACACTCATTGTAACTCCATCGTCTCTGAAGCTTAACTGGGCCTGCGAGATTGAGAAATTCTTACCTGCCTTCGACCCCTCCAAGGTCCTCGTGGTCAGCGACTCGAACGACTTCCCCAGGGGGGCACGCCTCTACAGGTGCGGAGTGGAGCGATGAGCGGTAGCGGTGAGGAGTGTAGAACGAGTGCAGACGAGTGGGTAGCACCACCCCTGATACAACGCTAAACACTTTTCCCTTTTACCCCCTCCACAGAATCATCATCGTCTCCTTCGAGCTATACAAAAAACTGGCTCACCTGATAAACGAAATAAAGTTCAAACTAATCATCGTGGACGAAAGTCATTACATAAGAACGGTGCAGTACGGAAAACAAAGCCAGCTAGCCAAAATGATCAAAGGCACCATTAAAAAGACAAAAAAAGTCATCTTCCTCAGCGGAACTCCCTCCATAAACAGACCCATAAATATATACCACCAAATTAAGTACCTCATAAACAGCCAAAAAATTTTCTGTAAAAATAAGTTTACCTTTGGGGAAGAATTTTGCAAAAAATATTTTTGCAGAGGACAAAAAATATTCGAAGAAAATTTACGCTCCTGGGAATTCCACCTTTTCTTAAAAAAAACGGTCATGATAAGGCGGTCCATTTCAGACGTGTTTGCTTCCAACTTTCCTGACTTGAAGAGATTCTTCGTATACTTACCCCATGGACCCTACACCATCAACACAGATGATCACGTCAATTCCTTGTCGTCACCCTCCCCGTGTCCCCCAAGTGGGGATAAAAATGTTCTACAAAGTTTTGTGAAAGACTCAACAGAGGAAGGAACTCAGTCGGTTGGCACAGATTTCGCAACCCCAACCAGACAAGCACTGAGCGAATTTTTTCAAGTCAAAATTAAAACAAAAAAAGTAGAGGAGGGACTGTCAAAAGTGATTCATGCGATGAGATACATAGAAGAAAATTTCCCAGAAAAAAAAAAAATAATTTTTTGCTACCACCTAACTGTGTGTAAATGCATCGAAGAGGAATTGCTAAAAATAATAAAAAGAAAAAAAAAACAAAATGAACAAGCCATTATAGATTACGTGGTACTCAATGGAACTTTAAGTGAAAAGGAAAAGAGAGAAAAAATACAATACTTTCGCATGAACCACACCTGTCAATATGGCATTTTCACAATCTGCGCAGTTAGCCATGGACTAGACTTCACCTTCTGTAACTTATGTTTCTTCGTAGAATTTCCTGTAAATTTTTTTCACCTTCAACAATGCGAGAGCAGACTGTTTAGGAAGAACCAAAAGTTCAACACGTACGTTTTTTACTTCCTCTTAAAAAATGGCTTAGGGAGTGATTACAAAACGTGGACGAGGTTCACGCTATGTGCACATAGCACTCGCTCTATAGTCGATGGAACGGAGTTTGTTACCAAAGATCTCCTCTATGAGAACGTGTCGGGGGACGTGCTTATGCGAAGCGTTCAGAGTGGGTCACAGGGGGGGGGTGATCTGTCCAGAAGCAGTTACGCCCCAGAGGAGACAAGCGGCCAACCGAACAACGAACTGATAGTTCAACAGTGCAACGACTTGATAGGCCAACCGCACACCGTGCGAAGCACGCGAAAACGAAAATTCCTCTTCCAAATAAACACCCTCACAAACAGAATCCACGCCTACTACCAAAACAAGAAGACCAATTTCGCAGTGGAGCATTTGATGACCAGCCATCGGGGTGAAGAAAAGGCAAGGACGCTCCTCACAAAATGCGCAATTAAATTTTTGCAAAATTACAACAAACTAAGCACAAACGAAAAAAAGTTAATTGAAAAGAAAAAATGTGACATGCACATATCGATGGTTTCCCGTCTGCGCCATGGAGAAAATAATAAAAAAAAAAAAACGTTAAAATTTGAAAGGTACTTAAAAAACTTTACCGAAAGAGATAAGACATACGTGAAGACGTACCTTAAAAACAGCTTCAGGGGAAAACTACAAAACTTCTATTACCAAGAATATGATGAGAAAAAAAACGCAATTAAATGTTTACTCTGTAAAAATGAGTTACCCCCTTGTTCCACTCTTATAATAGGCGAATACAACGTTATGAAATATTTGTATGACCACTCAGACAACGCCACGGTCGAAAAATTTCATAACGAATTCAACACGATTAAATTGCAAAATTGTAATGTTAAAAATATTATCATATGTGATGAAAGCAATATGTTTTGCGAAGGCAAGTGCAGAAAAATTTATTTTTTAAAAAAAAGTTCCAACAGTATACGAAGATTAATTTATGAAAGAGATAAAGGCATTTGTAACATTTGCAAATTGGATTGCACAAATTTAATTAGACAAATTAAAAGTCAAAAATATTTTTCAATTAACGAAAAAATTGATTATTTTATTAAAAAATATCCTTTATTTATAGAAGACATTAATCATCTCACACACATACTTGAAAAACCCATGGAGGGACACATCTGGAACGTGGACCATATTTTGCCTGTTTTCAGGGGAGGCGGAGAGGCCTCATTTGACAACCTACAGACTTTGTGTACCTTCTGTCATAAGAAAAAAACAAAAGACGATTATAAGGAAAAAACGGAAAAGAGGGGTTATCCTGTGGACAGCTCCCCTCCAAAATGATTCAACTGGTGTTTTTTTTTTTCGAGGGACGGGTCATTCGTCAACCGTTCCGTTGTATGTTGCATGTGATTTTTCTTCTTTTTTTGCCTCTTCGATTTTACCTGATTTGTTTTTTTTCTTTCTTTTCACTTGTCGCTCTTCAAAAGAACACTGTGCCCGTCCAGATCCTTGACCACCCAACCTCCGTGCGACTCCACCAGTTGTATATCATTTTCCCGCAGCTTCGTCTCCACGCGGGCCAAGTCCTTGAAACTCAAAATTAAATTTCCGAGGGAATTCCCCATGTGTAGCTTTTAGAAAAAAAAGGAGGGCGAAAGTAGCGACGTGTTTGTGTGTAGCGGGGTGAATGTGCCCAACTTGGGCCATCCTGGACTAAATTGTTAACACACCTGACAAAGGATGCACCCTAAAACCTTTCACCCAGAAAAGGCCCCCCACTCACCTTATCCTCATCATAGGCATACGCCATCTGCAGCACCGTCGCGTTCCTTCCCGAAGAGAAAAAGTAACTCATCCCACCGTATACACTCCAGGGGTAGGAAATTTCTTCCAAGTGGCTCTGTATCCTTATCAGCTAAATGTGGCGGAACGAACGAGAAGATCAGATCGAAATGAGCACGCTGAACAGAGTAACTGTTACAAACGGTGAAACATTTTCTTTTTTTTGTTTTTCTTTTCTTACCTCCATTCCTAAAATGTCCGAGTAAAACTTTTGCGAATCCTTCGTTGATGTCGTGAAGAAGCGTACCTGTAAATTTGCATTTTGTTAAAAGGGGCATTATTGATTGGGGAGTTGGACGAAATGTGAGCAAAAATGTGTACGTATTAAAAAAATGGTACGTTTTAAATGGGGGTGAGGGGGGTAAAGGGCTGCTCCTTTCATTTATTTTCCTTTTTTTTTTTTTTGTGCATACCCTGTCCAGTTTGGTGCCTTCCCCCTGCAGCACCACCTCGATTCCGTAGCCATCCGGGTCCGTCACGAAACAGTTTGTGGAGAACCGCCTAATTTGAGCCTACATGGGTGTGTGGGGAGTGGAGGGCGAAAAATGAGCGCACTAAATGGGGTAACCCTAAGTATGATCACACCACTTGGACAGCCCCCTTGCAAAAGCATTCTCCACGTACGTCCTCGTCCGGCAGTATGCACGCTGTGATCGGCCTTTTGTCTATCCCGTCCTCCACGTTCCCTCCGTATATTTTCGTTTTGCTTATTTGGAATTCTTCTTTGTTTACGCCCAGCCCCAGGAAGCAGTGCTGTCAGGTGGGGGAAAAGGCAACACACATGCAGAGGTGTAAGGCAGAGATAAAGCAGGGATGATGCACAAACAAAAGCCGCTCGCCCTTCACGCAGAGCGTCCAACAACACCCCTTTCCGAATATACCTCTCCTATAATCATGTCCTGGTGCTCCTCCTTTTGCACTAGCTTTATATAAGCCTCTTCCGGGCCTAAGCCCATTTTCACGAAACCCTCGCCTTTCTCGAGCACTTGAAAACCAAGCACGTTTTTGTAAAACTCCACAGACTGGTCCACATTGCGGACTGTGTACTCTATGCCTTCCACTCTGCATTGCAGCCTCTTGTTTCGGTGTGCTCCACCTGCATTTTTAACCTTCTTCCCGACGATACTGCTGCTGGTCAGGAAGGAATAAGACGAACGCCTTGGCACTTTCAAAAAGTGGTAACCATTAAAACAGAGCAGGGCTGACCAAAGGAGGGCGCGCTTCATAAAGGCAACCGTTGCCATACGCACCACTATTCACAAAACAAAATATATATATATGTGTGTGTCCAGTGTGAGCACGTGTAACGATTATGTGGGGGGGTGACGGTCGAATGTGCGTATGGCACGAATTTGCAATCCATGGGTTCTGAATACCCACGTGCGGGGGTCCTATGCATGGCTCACGCAAAACACCTTTTACATTTACTGTGACGTTACCGATGCCCTTTGCGCCAGGATGGCGAAAAACAAGTTCGCACCAGGGAACGAAATTGATGGAGAGAAATTTCGGCGGGGAAAAAAAGCCACGCGGAAAAAAAAAAAAAAATACATACATGTATACATACACACGTGCATACTTGTGGTACATTTACGCCCCCGACAGGTGATCGGTCGGGTAATCTTCAAAGCGGGAATAAAAGGTGCCCGGCGCAAATGCCGCAGCAAGCGCAAACCAGTGAGAGAACGCCTGTGGAAGGTAAAAGCTCCAACAGGGCTGCGCCGAGCCACGACTAAAAAAGAAACCACGCGAGTGCATACTCATGTGTGTTGCGACACCACTGTAGTTGCTGCAAAATGACTCGCTCTAGGGAAGCGGCGTCATTATTGGCAAAGTGTGCACTTCGTAGGAGCGTACACAACTACACCGCTTCACCTCATTTGTAACGCCCAACAGACGCAAAAGCGCGAGACTTCCCCGTCTCGAGCAAGTACGAATCGGCGTCGCGGGCCACGTTCAGCAGTTTGTGAAAAATGGCCTTAACCCTCTCAAGGCGCCCATAACACATATGCCACTCATAAAAGGGCATAATGACTAAGTTGTAATTTAATTTCCTCCAAAAAAATAAACGTAAATAAACCAACGGTAAAAGCTCAATGGAGGCACCATCAACTTCTTTAAAATAATTGTCCTCCTCCAAAAATTCGAAAATAATTTTCTTCTTCAAATCCACATACTTAACATCCATGGAAAATATTTTAACGTTCTTCGTAATTTCGATTTTATCCTTCTGGCTATTTTGGCAGTAAGCATATTTCTTCAAAATGATTTCAAATTCAAGGTGGGCTACGTTGCTGCGCTTGGTGCGTTCCTTCACAAAGTCATCATGGTCATGGCATTCCATACCATGTGGACCTTTTTTCTCTGTCGTTCGTTCCCCTCGTGTGTGCACCTCTGCTGTGTCTATATGATTGTACTCCCGAGATATGATCTCCATCTCGTTATCATCTTCCGTGTCCAGGAGGACGAGCTTCTTTCTGTCAAAGGTGAAGTCGTGCGGCGAGGCGGGCACGCGCATTAATGGTGACGTTGCCGCTTCCGAAGGTAACGAGGATGACGACTCCCCCATGTGGGCCTCAGCAAGGTTGACAACCTTGTGCAGCAGCGTGTCCACCTCGGCGAGACCCTTCTGTGCCCCAAAAAATTTTACATTCAAGAAAAAAAAGAAAAACTTTTTTGGAGGAATCAACTGCTTCATCTCGATAATGTCACTGATCAAGTTGGGATACCTCTCCACAAAGGGGATGTCACGGAAGGATAAATTAACAAAAGTTAGAAGCACGGGGATTAACTCCTCTTTGAGTCTTGTATCGGCTTTCATTTGCTCGTACAGCTGGTCCAAGAGCTCCAGACTTGTGCACATGTACAGGTCGTTCAAGCTGCAGTGGATGTTGGTGGCTGGGTTTATTAGCAGCGGTACGACGGTGAAGTAGGTCTTCAGGAAGGGCAGCGGTAGAGGGGGGGGGGGCCGCGGCGCTCCTTCAAGTGATTCATCAGTCAATGTGTTACACGATGCTTCAAGAGATGCTTTGCGTTGCTCCTCAATTTGTGCCTTCCCCCGGAGCGCCTGACTGATCCCGCGCAAGCAGCATTCCACCAAGGACACATGCCGGTAGGGGTACATATTTTTAAAGCTCCTCATCAACAGCTCCAGCTCAGGAATGCCCACAGGGTTCTCCCCCAACTGACGCTCCAAAAAAACCAACAGATATTTCCTTATGAGGGCATTCCTGTGATCCATATCTATGGAGAGCTTGCTCACTAGGTACACCAACTTGATCGTTTCGTCTCTCCTCCCCTCTACACTCTTCGTGCCCTCCTTATCACATGACACGAACCGAAGTAAAATTTTTTTAAAAACTGAATTGAACAAACTAAACTCTGTGTCGACATTACGAATAATGCTAAGTCCCTTCACCAACTTTAAAATTTGCTCATTCTTCAACGCATGCACATGATCATACAGGTTAGACAGTACCACTCGAACGACTCCCTTGTTCACGTAACTTAACTTTTGGAAATAGTACAACAAGGTGCAGCAAGTTCCTGCACTTATTTTTGTTCGCCTATTATTGGAGAGGATGCCGCCCTCGTCTAGGGGGGCAATCCCATGTGAGGCATTAGCCACTTCCTCGCTTCCCACACTCAACCTTTCCCTCGAAGGCAGGTCACTCAGGTATGCCCAATTCATCTCCATCACACGCTCGATCTTCCTATAAGCCTCGCTAAATTCGCTAAACTGGCTCAATTCGCTACACCCATGTGTGCTAGCTACCTCTCCCCCCATACCCTTATCACTGCTGATCAAACTGGCCGAGCGCTTCAGAAGTTTTTCCATGTCTTCCCGGTAGCGCCTGCACTCCTTCCTCCTTACCACCAACCGACACTGCAACACTGTCAAGGCGCTTAAATAATTCAACACATTCTCCAAAAGAACATAATTCTCCTTTGTAAAAAAGTACATACAGTGGTGCAGCCCCTTTAGCAGTAGTAAAATGTCTTTAAGGGAGAAGTGCAGTGAGCAGAGCAAGCAACACTTTAGTAAGTGCAAAAAAAGGGGGGCATCTTTATATCTAACTTTTCCTAGAAGCAAAATTTTGTACAAGACATTTTGGACGTACCTATCCAGGTCTTCAAATTTGAGACAAGCTTTTTCATCACAATTGATTAGGAAAAAGTCTCTTCTTCTCACTTGGTCAAAAATGCTGGGATATTCCTCATTTTTGTGGCTAATAAGCCCTTCCGCTGCTTTGGTCAGGAGGAGGGATTCTTCCAAAGTTAGGGCTTGACCTGGATGCGGTTTCTTAGCACTACCAAGCGTGTCTGGGGCACCCCCCAAGACGCGGTTCACAACGCAGGAAAACAACTTTCCCCTCAAGGATGCCCCAGCCACAGTGCATTTACCAATCGTACAAAACTCATCCAATAAATAAATCATAGTGGACGTGGACTCTATCAAGTTTGTGTCATTTTTATCCAAAAATAATTCTATCTTGTTCATGCAAAAGTTAACATGATAAACCTTTTTAAAGTAAAATAATATTTTGGCTAGCTCGGCAACACGGTCATAATGGGAATGAGAAAAATTCTCCGCCTTCAGTGAGTCAAACAAAAATGAAAAATAACACAATGGCAATAAATTATTTTCCTTTATGTTCCTACTTTTTATAGTGTTTAGAACATTCACATAATCCATGTCTTTCATTTCTTTCCCTCCTTGTAAAGATCCCTTTAATCTGTTCAATACGTCATAGTAACAGTCATTATCAATGAGATTAAAAAATTGCAAATCTTCTAAGACGTTACATAACTGCTGCGTATTCGCTTGTGCCATTTTTTCGTAAAAATTATTTCTCAGACTTGAGTTAATTTGTGTGATTAGCACCAAATTTGATTCACCATTTTGGTGGCCATTCAGATTAGTTTTGCCATAGGGGGAAAACTCACACACATCATTCTTCCCCTCATTAATAGCCTCCATACCGTCTAACCGTCTAACACTATTCGGTGTTCCCCTATCCAATTTACCCTCCTTGGCCTCTCCCATCATCGCCATTACCAACTTCTTAACACATCGCAGTACGGACGAGATACCGTGCATCTGCAAGGACGGCACCACGTGGTGTAACCTTCTCAAAAATGAGTTTAGCAACACTTGGCTTTGCGCGTCGGGGCAGGCCTCTCCTAGAAGTGGTATAGCCCAATAAGGATTAGAACTTGCGCCAAAACGCCCCATCCCGTTGACGTAAAAATGAAACAGGATAGTCAAGTCGACAGCATTACTTTCGTCCAAAATCTGGTCCACATTTTTGAAAAATAAAAATAAAAATTTCTCATTATATATGTCCAATTTTAGCATGCTATTCAAAATTAAGCTTATGCTCATCACGGGGACATTTTCGAAAATCTCCGTGGCTTTGTCAACCAGTTTTGTGTAAATGTGGATCACGCCCTTACTGTAGTACTTCCCTTTACTGATTGAGTTAATCAGTTGTGATATCTCGATTGGGTTTTCCGCCACGGATAATCCATAACTTAGGTTCTTCTCGTACATATCATATTTTCCATTCTTCAAATTATCACTTAACAATTTACACAGCTTGGTTATTGTTTGCTTTTTGTTTCTTTCCTCCACTTGATCGTTCCCAGGAAGTTGCCCTTTTTTGTGATCAGTATATTTAATACTTCTCTCGTCTACACACTTGTCGCTCCTTCTGTTGCTCCTCCTCACATGGTCAATGTTTAGTGGCTTCACCCTTAGCCTCTTCACAACAATGGAGCTGAAGCTTCTGCGGGATGCGGCCTTGTGCAAGAGCGTCGGCACGGCGTCCAAAAAGCCGCTACACCTTTTTGCATACATTTGTATCTTAGGAGGAGTTTTACATGGGGAGCCACGCAGGCAAGTTTGACGCCCTTCAAAGAAGTGCTAATGAGATAGGACAGCTATAATTGGGCTCATAAAGTGGGCCAGTCCGTACGATGTCCAGGTGGATTAAAAAGAAAAAAAAAATTAACCCGCCGCAAATGCTGTCGAGTCCTCTGTACAACTGTTCACATTTTCCCACTCACCTCACCAATGGCATTTTCTTTCCTCCAAATTGAGCTGCTATGCATTGTGCGTGAGGGTAAACCTCCTTAAAAAGAGCTGGTACTTTTTTGTGTTTGTTTTTTTTTTTCTTCCTTTTTTGTTTACGCAATGTTGACACTTGGCATGAACAAATAAAGACAAAATGGAATAGGGGTTAATCATATAGAAGCAGCTGGTGGTAGCCCTCTCACACGGGGCGTGTGCACGACACCAGCTTGCGGGCCCCACTTGGGTGTTCACTTCTTTTCATCTTCCGACGGAAGGATACCAGCCTTTTTCCATTCGTGGTATCTTAAAGGGGGGAAAAAGGTAACCAAATGGGGCAACCACAACAAAATGTGGGATCAGTCCCTAAATAGAATATGCGGCGAGCCCTTCCCAAACTTACGTGGTGTGTCCCAACTCGTTCAGCAGCTTCTTCTCCATCGATTCCTCCGACTCTTGCGCCTCTTTTCGCAGGTCTCGCTTGACGTTTTGGATGTAGCCCAGGGGGGTCTGCAGGCCGTCGCCGGTCACCATTAGCACCAGCATGCTCAGCGATGTGAAGGCCAGCAGTTTGATCTGCGCGTTCTGCAGTGAGTGCGTGTGGGTTACATTAAGATTAGACCGCGTTAGTGTGTCCACATATGTAAGAACATTTTTGCATACGCACAGGGGCAGCCCATCATGGCAAGCTGCACGTGTGCTTCTGTGGAGCACTCTACACACATCCACATTAACAGTGAAAAAGTATCTCCCCTCCCCTTCTTCTCCCTCAATATAAAATTACCGAAAAGTTTCCGTTTTTCACGAAAAGCAGGTTTTTCAATTTATCCATTTCTTCCGCAACAGCTTTGGCATCACATTACTAGTGCTTCATTTGGCTGGACTGGATGCTTTTTTTTTTTTTTTTCGAAAATGTTTCAAAATGCTATTTGGCATGCTTGAGCTGTATGCCTGCAAGGGGGTACTAAAACTGTTCTATATTTTTGCACATTTGAAGGAACATCCTTATGCATAAATTTACTCGTTTTTTTACGCCACTTCGGGGCCACATTTCCCGAGTTGGCTAGCCACGTCGCTGAAAATTGCCTGACCCGTTCATGTGTTCTTAGCAGAATTTTCAAAAAAATTATGGCAAAAAAAAAACAAAAATTTAGTTAACTATAAACATAAGAGGCGAAAAGGATGCGCACAGGGAACAAATCGAACAGTGTGTTGCTTAGTACGTATAATTATAAAGAGTATGTCATAAGCATAACAGGTGTATACATGTTTTGTAGCCTCGTCACACCCTGTTTTACGAATTCCACTCGTTGAAACGCCGTCATGTGAACAAATGAAAAATGCTATGCCACAACTTTTCAAGCAAGGTCAGCACACTTCTCCTTAACCGGATGAACTGCCCCTTTCTGCAAAATGTACAAGTAAGAAACCATAAAATTATCAAACCCAGAAACATTATTAAGCTATGGAAAATTAGCAAAGGGGACGAAGTCAAGGTGATATCGGGAAAGGATAAAGGCAAAATAGGGGAGGTACTAAGTTGTGATAAATTTAGAAACATGGTTAAGGTAAAAGGATGCAATTTGAGAAAAATATATCTCGATAATAAATTTGTTTATATTGAAAAAAAAATCCATTATTCCAATGTCCAACTGATTGATGATTTTTTGAAGACAAACACCAAGGTGTGTATTAGGTACACGGATGACAATCAAGTTATACGAATATCGAAAAAGTCCGGAATTGTCATTCCGTGGCCCTCCAAGAAGAATAAAGAGGACGAATTTGACGATGTGGAAGAAAATCCCCTGGATACGCCACCGCAAGAGGCCCTCAAAAAGACATACGACTACAAGACCGATGTCAAGTTCATGAATATATTACGCCAGACGGTTAACAAATACAACAGGGAATTGTCCTAAAGAAGCACAAAAAAAAAAAAAAAAAAAAAAAAAAAGCACCAACCACAAGCACCTCTCCAATACTCTTTTGTCAATCCAGAGAAGAGTGCGCCACAATTGTGTACGGGCTTAAATGCAGGCATGTTTAATTGTCAACGTGTGCGTAGCACCCAATTAGGGAAGCCATGTTTCGTTTTGAACGACGCATGTGAAGCTTTGGCTTGATTTAATTTACTTAATTCAATTCCCTTTATCGGGAAAAATAGGAAGCGCTCGTATCGCTAAAACGGTGAAGACGCGCAATATTTTACTTCCACTGAGGTTCAACAAAAAAGGAGAAGAAGAGTACTACACACCTGTGGCATTTGCACAACTATAGTGCACCACCCGAGCAGATGTTCTTTTTTATTCAAATGTAGCTGCCTTGTATGGGCATATTTGTCGCAGTCATGTACACTGTACCGCATCTACAATAGGGGGAGTGGATGTCCCTTACAAACAGAAGTAGGCACATGCTTGTAGTATGCCATGTCTAATAGCTTTACAGAAAGTACACACGATTGGGCAGCTCAACCGTTCAGGTAACACGTTCATTTGGCCCTTGTCAAACAAAGCGCAAACCGATTTATACCTGGTTGGATTGTTTAGCTGCCCAATGGTCAATTTGGCCAGTTATCCTACACTTAGAATTGGTAGTCCACCCCACTCCCCTTTAACATTACATTAGTTAAGTTTATTCGCTCACAGTATATAGAAGCTGTTTGTTAAGTGTGAATTTATTTTAACTTTTCCTTTGGCTGCCTTGGTTGGGATAATCCTCCCAATCTCTTTTCAGAAAATGTTCTCCTCATATTTTTTAAAGTGTTGTTGTGTTCAATCTTTTAAACATTTTTTTTTTTTTCAATTTTTTTCCTTCCACTAGGCAATATTATTTTTTCCCCCTTCCCAGCAACCACTGCAATGACCTTTCCTCCGTCCCGCAAACCATTCGCTTTAAAAAGAAATTTTATTTTATATATATTTTTTCTTTTGACTTTTCGCGACAAACGGGACCAGCCAAGGAGACGTTACGTCTCGCTGCTTAATCTTAATCACGCCAACGGCTATATGAAGTAGTACAAAAATGTACGCTATGTTTAATATAGAGACGTATGCACAGCACATAAAAATGTTAGCAGCACGTGGGTGTGTATATTCCGCCCATTGGTACAGTGAAGAAATGCGAAGGTGGAGGTTGCAGCTGGCTGGGCAGGTTATAAATGTTTAAAAAAAGAAAAAAATGTGTAAGTGGTTTTTTTTTCTTAACAGATGATATATGCACTTCACGTTGGCGGTCCCGCGAAACGGTTAGAGAAACAAAAAAGAAGAAAAGGAAAAAAAGCGGGGCGAGGTATTGTATATATATGGTGAGCCACTTCGCATCGGATTCATATGCCCCGTGGTACAACACATAATAATACATCTTGCTGCTGGAGCTGTATGAACAGTGGGGGTACGTACATATATTACATAAGCCATTAATATACATAACGTATGCTACGTACAACATATTCCCTTATACGAACATACATAATATATTGTATGTAGATATTGTGGCTCGCGTGGCCGGGGAGCATCCGCCCCGCCAAAAGGTGAAGAGGGCAGGGGAGACACGTATGCGGAACGCGCGTTAAAAAAGTGAAGCAGCTGACTAAGCTAAGCGGGGCTAAGCTGCTAGGGGGCACTAGCTTAAAAAAAAAAATGGAATAAGATAAAGCATTATTTAACTACTATGCTTATTGTATATACATGTAAAATAATTTCGCTTGTGCCAGCTAAATCCATTTTCATATGCGCATGTGCCGTATGCGCTTCCGGTCACCCCATGTTTTTGTTTTTTTTCAACATGCGCACTTGAGCATGGCGCAAATTTTTGGAGCAATAAAAATTAATTGAAGGCACGGCATAAAAATATATAAGAAGGAAAAAAAAATAAAAGCAACATAATTAAACATATGTGATCATTCTATTTTTGGAACGCACGTTTTACATGTTAAGTTATAGAGAGAGGAGTCTTTCGCGCAAACATGAAAACAGTTTAAATGCGTGTTTTAAATCCCTTTAAGCGGATAAAAAGTACAAATTAAACTTTGTGAACGTAGTTTTTTATATACGATCGAAAAAATACGTCATGAGCAAATGCATATTTTTTTCTTGCGAAGGCGTTTATATTTATATCTTCACAAAAATCTGTTTTACTTAAGATATTTTTTACAATTATCATATTTATATTCTTTTTTCGTGAATTTTTTTTTTTTACCACTTATACATAAAAAAATCACTTCATTTTTGCGCCTCCAGGGCAAAACTTTACCATCTTGCAAATGAGTTTTTTCTTTTTTTGTATTTTTTTTTTTTACATGCTCCATCACAGCATAGTTGACACATTGGTAATTTCTCACATGTTCATGAGCAGTTTGTATACTTGCCTCTCACTTTTTAACGCATAAAGCGTAAACGGAAAAAAAGGGAGAAAACAAGTTGTAAAACCAGTTTTCACTCGCGAGAGCCAGCATATATATATATATATATATACAAAGGTACTATTCCTTTGTAACTATATTTTCTGTCGCTTCCTTGTGCCTGTTCATTTTTTGCCGTTCGCCATTTCTCAGTTTAATTATTTTCCATCCCAGTATAAAAGGGCCTTTTTATCTTTTGCATGTATGTGGTATATGTACTTACACTCCTGCATATGTGTAACACGCTCACGAGGCCATAATCCAAACGGCATATGATTTTGTTCACCATTCGCACAATCGAAATAGCCAACACTTTGTTCAGACAAAAGGGACGAATTAAAAAAAAAAAATTGCTTTTCGATGAGCACGAAAGAGCTGCCACGAGAAAGGTACGCGTTTTATAAAAGGCAAAGGAGAAATGCGCATTTGTTATTCATACTGTGTATACATGTGAATGATGCCCGTTTCAACGTGAAGGTGTTACAAACAGCAGATAAAGGATTGGTGCGCTCGTAGGAGGTGTAAAGTCTCAGTCCTCTAGCGTTTAATCGAATGAACAAAAGTGAAATTTACGTACATACGCGCAGTGTCTACGTTTTACATGCGAACAAGTGTGTTAGTTTCCTGACTGCACGATTGTACGCACGACATTTTATTAAAATAAAAGCTGAGGAAGGGCACACGCACGTGCTCCACGCGCTTCTGCACACACATGCAAAAGTCATGCGAAAAGGTTACGTGTACCCTTAGAGGTTTTTAATGTACGTACCACTCCCTCGGACAAATTGTGTACGTATGAATGTCTACATATGTGTATACATTATAATTTTTTTTTTTTTCCTAATATCCTTAAGTATTTTCCACACGTTAGGGGTTTAATTTAGGGAGTTTTTGTTTCCTCCGTTCGTTAATCTTCCCATTATGTAGTCATTCGTATGTCGTCATTTAGTCATTACTACGTCTTTGCTTAGCCCCCCTTTTTGTCACCACTTCGTCCTCTCGCTTGTTTCCCCTGCTTTGATGTCCCCCGTCTCATCTCAGTTTTCTCATTCGTTGTAGCCCAGTTTCACCGAGCCACCGGTTAGCCACATTTCAAGGAAAAAAAAAAAAAAAAAAAAAAAAAAAGGAACGGAACGGAACGGAACGGAAAGGAGACGAGCATATATAACCACGCCAGTCACATCGCTGCGAACGCATCTGTGAGAGTAACTCGTGGTATGATACGTTCTCCTCCTGCGTATACACATCGTCAAGTCATTCCCCTTTTAATCGAGTCTACATAATTCTTACAACCCTACACACACAACACACACACGCTGTTACTGCATCGAGGCCGTTCCATACTTTTTTTGCACGTGATTGAAGGATTTTTTTTTTTTTTTTTGGCATGGGGTAAAGGAATTTATCTTCAAAGTTAAAGGAATTATTTTCACGTGTATAGGAAAAAAAAAAAAAAAAAAAAAGGCACACGTGACGAAAGCGTGCGCTCGTAGGGTTATATACTCCAGGAACGAAACAGCTGTCGACATCTACTCAAGTGTAAGCAATCTCCGTGTGGATTCATACAAGTGGTTTAGCGCAAGTGAGTGGCGAATTTGGAGCAATTGCACCCCGTGTTTGTGAGGGCCTAACTGTGGATCATTCTTCTGTCCTGTCTCTTTATATCCCTGCGTTCTTGTGTTTGACCACCCCCCGGCAAGTATAAACGGAAAATCACACACGCTCCAGGAAAAAGTAGCCCACAAGTTAATCGCACACTCGAGTGCTCTCTGTTAGGAATTAGTCCGCGCCACTTGGCACCTCTGCTACAGGAGGCACAGCGTGTCTGTTCTGTCATCTCGCCCCATACGCGCATCTTCCTAAAAAAGATCCAAAATGATAAAGCAAAAGAGGTCGTACCCACTTATGAACAAAGAAGGCGAAATAGGCAACCCCAGCGATGCGGAAGGTGTATTTAAAAGGCCACGAAATAGAAGCGCCAGTAGCAACAGGTCTTTTGGAAGTTGCAAGGATGAGGAAAATGAAAAAGATGAAATAATGATGAAATACTGTGCTAGTGGCACAACCACAGAAATGAGAATCCCATATTGTCTTCTCCTCCCCAATAGGGCAATAGGGTTTGTTATTGGTAAGTCAGGAAGCAATGTACGTGAAATTGAAAAGGCGTGTGGAGCGATCATAAAATGCCAAAAGGAATTTGACGTTGTAGTACATCCACCTCCGTCGGAAAAAATTTTAACCATTTTTGGAAAAAAGGAAAATAAAAAAAAAGCATTAGAATTGGTTTTAGGTAAATCAAAAACGGTTATGGATTTTCAGGAAGAGGATGGAAAAGAGTCCATCGTTATTATCGTACCTACTAGATCTATACCAATTATTATTGGACAGAAGGGATCCAAAATTGCTTCTCTGTCTGAACAGTCAGGCTGTGAAATTAATGTGCATAAGGATGATGTTCCAGGAATTAAAGATAAGGCTATTTTTATTAAAGCCAAAAATTTTGCAAAAATTATTGACTGTATAAGTATCATTTATGACCTACTAGAGGATATTGTGGATAATGGTATTCTTTCCATATCTGAATTTCCTGGGGTTCCCAAAAATGGTGCCGTCAAGTCTGCCCAGGGTGGTGGTGGCGGTGCTTTGCCCGATGCTTCAAGCGGCATGGGCATGGGTGGCGGGGGCAGCGGAGGAGGAGCAGCAGGAGGTCCCAATAGCCATTTCCATCAAGGCGGAGGTTCTTCACACAATCACTTTAATCATGACGTCAAATATAACATGAAAAAAAATGACAATAGTAATTCCTTTGAATATATGAACGGCGACGATTATGATAATTTTTCAGTTCCAAAAGAGAGGAATCTGTTGTTACACAAATTTGGAAAAGAAGCGAGCGCATGTGTGATTCGCTTTGTTCTCGATGTAGAAACGACCGCCTGGATAATCGGCAAGGCAGGCTGCCACATAAAGGAAATTAGAACTATTACAGGAGCGGGTGCAGTAATTGTGGATGCCCCGGATAATATTGAAAATGTGAAAACGTGTGATCGAATTTTAACCCTATCTGGATCGGCGGAAAATAAATTTAATGCACTCAAATTAATCGTCAGACAAATTGAAGAAAGAGAAAAAAATATCAACCATCCAATGCGTATGCTAGTTCCTGGAAAGGCAGCTAGCTTCCTAATTGGTAGAAAGGGTTCCATTATAAAATACATTACAGATATGTCGGGTTCTCAAATACAGGTAGCTAAAAATAAAGAAAGTGAAAATGAAAAACTAGTCTTGATTAGCGGTTCTCCTGATGCTAAAATATTGGCCTCCATCTTAGTTTTGCAAAAATTAGAAGAGTACGAAAATCCGGCTATCGCTAGGGAAGGATTACTCATCCCTTTGAATGACGTCATATTCAGCTTAAACACCAGCAAGCATGGTGGCGTAAAAAAGGGAAACAACAATAGTTATAGTAGCAGCGGGGTGGGTGGTAATCATGGAAAGCCAGGACATAACAATCACCATACAAATATGAATAACGACAGGTATTACTCTTCTGGCTCCAACCCTAATAATCATTATGGAGGAAGGGGTTCTTCTCCCCATGCCGTTAATGGAAGCGGATATGGTGCAGGTGGAAACCACTCTTACGACGACAACAACATGCACAGTCAGAACAATAATTATAATAACTCACTTAAAAACCCAAATGATATGAAAGACAAGGTAGAGAAAATGTTCCTCCAACAGTTATACAAATCCTTCCCCATTTCTTCCCTACCAAAAATTTTATCAGTCACACAACCATACACTATCGAGCTGAACATGCCCGATGTGTACTTGGAAACGTTCGACTCGCAGAATAAAAATGGAAAATCTTTAATTGAAGAAATTATTGAGAAGTCAGGCTGTAACATCTCCATCTGTACCGACACCAACGATTCCTCCTCCTACACCTTTATCCTCTCCATCACGGGTTCCCCCCTCGCAAACTCCATTGCCATCCTTATGATCCAGGCCAAAATTTTTCAGTTCGACTGGTTTTGAGCGGGGCCCACAGGGGGGCGCTAGCACACAACAGCGGTGTAGCAGTGGTGTAGCAGTGGTGTAGCACTGGCGTCCGCAGTACCATCCGCCGTGGCAGCCGTGTCGCCTCGCTACCGCGTCACCCCCTATGTAAAAACGTGCTTTCAATTTGTCAACCACACAAATGTGCAAAATTGGACGCACGCTCCCGCCCAGTTCCCGTCCCCACAATCTCTATCACATCCTACGTTGTCATCGTTTCACCAAATGGTTGTTTTACCCATTTTAACTTTTATTATTTTTTTTATCCTTTTTTAACCGCAAATTAGTATAACTTATTATATGTATACGTGGTTGCACCAACCCGTGTTGTCTTCAAAGTTTACAATCCCAAATTGGGCATATGTTGCTTGGGGGAGAAAGCCCCCTTTCTTTTTTTTCTTCTTTTTTTCTGACCCTATCGCGGCACCCGTGCAGAACGACACAGGGAAAGCATATCATCTATGTGCCCTCTGCACAGAATTGTCTTACAGATTGCGTTAAAACAAGTTTGAGCGACAAATTTGCTGTTTTTTCCCCAAATGAGGAAAAAAAAAAAAAAAAAATATTGACATACAAGTAATCCACATGGACCAGAAAAAAACTTTTCAAATGTATTATCGTATGCACATGTCCATTCATGCGAAACTGTTTCACTTAAATGCATTTGGGAACAAAAAAAAAATGCACTCAAATGGTAAATGCGTGAAAATGTTTACGTCCCCCAATTGGCATACACATGTGCGATCTGCGATGACGCAAATGCCGCTCCCCACTTCGATCCGCTTCACTTCAACTTGAACAACGCTTTCGTTTTTAAAAAATCCTTACTCTAAAGGGCAAATGAACAAATGAAAATATATACAACGTGGAGTGAACAATATTTTTCTATCTCACATAATATGCCTCCAAAAAAAAAAAAAAATTGGCACACCGTTCACACAATGTGTGTGTAACGAATATATTTTTTTTTTTTTTCCATTTTTGAGGAGTTACCTGAATGAGGTGCATTTTCTTCTTCGCTGGGCTTCTGTAATCCTTCACCACCGTGATGTTGCTGCGCAGGGGTTGGTGAAACAGTGGGGTGTGTGTTTATACGCACGTTGGAAAAGTATGCTAATATGTGGATGGCAGTCAGTACGGCGATCATCCGTGGGGCGATTACACATTAGAGCGTCTGATCAGTGGCCCCGATTGCACAACACCTCTTACTAATAATCATAGCTAGCTATTCCGTGGTTCTCGTCGAAAATTCTCAACTTATCAATTCTGTTGGTCTGGGAAGAGTACATGTCGAACCAGTGCCTCAAATAGGAAATGGCATACGAGTCTCCTTGGAACTGGGGGATGGGAAGGAGAAAAAAACGCGATGGAATGAAAATCAATTGGAGGAAAAAAAAAAATATATATACATAACACAATGTACATAACAAAATGCACATAACAAAATGCACATAACAAAATGCACATAACAAAATGTACATAACAAAATGCACAAAAAAAAAGGAGGGGCATTTTGTTGTTTGGTCTTGTCTGCGCCTCCATCTCCGCTTACGTGGCCCATGGCAAATCTCCGCCTGCACTTAATCCAGCCAACTATGAACATGCGCTTGGCAGTTCTGTACAGCTCCTGGCAGAACACATTCCCATCGTCTGCAGGGGGGGAAGCGGCGTGGTGCAAAGTTGCGGTGTAGTGTAATGTTGCAGCGTGGTGCCGAGCGGCTTCCATGTGGCACACGCCCCTCCTCAACTAACCTTCGAAGAAACCATTTATGTCAAACCTGAATTTGGACTTCACTTCGTGAAAGTTCGTTATGTCGTAGTTCCTTTTCGTTTCTTCTTTTTTCACTACGGGCGGTTTGTACTTGCGGAAGCCGGTGACCTGTACGGGGTGGGGGAAAAAGGACACATACATGGACACACCGTGGTGACAGGAAATGCACATGGGAATAGGTATGTGTGTTGGAAGTCCTCGAGGCTCCCCTCCCTAACACACACAAAACAACACACGTATTATTTTGCACACAAAAATGCCCATTTCTGCTGCTCTCCTTTTTGGCCTACCTGCCGGTTTAGTATGTCAAACTGCTTGGCGAATTCAGGGTGACCCTTCCTTAACTTGGGCTCCCATTTTTCCCCTTTGTCCAGTAGTACATTTTGGCGAAACAAAAAGTGGGGCTTCTTATGGATCGACAAACTCAGCCTGCTCCTTATCTTCTTCGAAACTGGTGTGGGTATCATTTGGGCGGTACACGTGGGAGGAGCAGAGAAACTAGTAACATGGGTGGGTGTTATTGGTGGTTTACATGGCTCTTCAGTTTGCTGCCTTGCTCAGTGACTTCCCAAGTAATTGATTGCCTGGCCGAGTTCTCATCGACAGATTTTTCAGCCAACTCCGTTCGCACGACGGCAGGCGGGGTCTCCCCAAATGTGCGCCCCTTGGGAAGACTCACCGCTCTGTCGCAGGTGTTCTTCACAAACGGGTAAACAGGATAACTTAAGCTTTACGTTAAAGGGGGGAACAAGTGAGAAATAAAATTCCAAGGGAGTCACATTTTACGTTCATTTTGCTGCATATGCATAGGGGGTATGTATAACTGTCATATGTGCATCCTAACTGTTGCGTTTTTTTTTTTTTTTTTTTTTTTTTTTTTCCCCCATTTTTTTTTTTTTTTTTTTTTTTTTCTTTAATGATGACGCAAGCGGAGTGAAAAGAAATACATGTGAACGAGTTTAATGTTTTATTTTTCCCCACCCTCCCCAGTATAGCAATAATGTGAAATTAGCTTATTTTTATTGCGCACTTAACTAATATGCTAACAGGCTAAGTGCCCATTCATCCGGTGGGTTAACCGCTCCATACAGCGTGCGTGCGTCCATTTGGCGATCACCTTCCTCTTCCTAGTGACCCACCCGAATGTAGACTTAAGGGGATTTTCTGATGTGTGTATAAACCACCACACAGAGAAATTCTCCACTAGTCCATGTTTTTTTCCTAATTCACGTGATACGAAGTGCCTGTCTTGAGTCTGCAGCATCGAGCTTGCGTGTTGGACGAAGAAGTAGAACGTGTACAGGACCACACAGGATGCAAATAATTACCTAAACGTGTGTGCACCTGTTCATTTGGTAGCCGCTCTTCCCATCGACCACGCATGAATAATGCGCGTATGGGCGTTTTGTGCCCACCATAATTACCTACCCCATTGCACAGAAATATGAACGAGTCAGTTAGCAGTCCAATCAAGGCCACATGCAGGGACATGGCCTTGAAGAGCAGCCTGCATTCCTTCACCTTCAGCTTAAAGGATTTCGATATCGCAGGGTTTTTGGTAAAGCACATGAGAGGAGAGGCAAAGGAGACACGATACCGTTGTGTAGAAGCACAACACAACGGACCTACTACATTAGCACCGTCTCCCATACACACCGCTTCTCACCCGTACGCGATTGTTTTGCCCCTCACCCTCTCAGGGAGACGGAGCCCACGGAAGCGTATTCCTAGCCTGCGAAAGGAGGACCAATTTCATTTGCGTCCTGAAATGCATATCGAAATCGCACTTGGTGAAGTAACAAAAGAGCCAAGCGCATCTCTCTACGCGTGCACTGATCATGTTTGCCCTTTTTTTTATCACTTTTTCCTTTTCCCTTTTCCCTTGTTTCCCGCTTAAGGAGCACACAGGAAGCCCTGTTGAGAAAAGAGATAGAATTGCAGGCGCATTTGAAACACCCTCACATAGCATGGTAATGGATGGAGGAAAAAAAACGTATACAAACGTGGTGCAATAATTACGGCATAATGAGTGGTTCAGTCGCCCCCTTTTTTGTGTGCACTTAATTGTGTTGTGCACATATTGGTGGTAGAGGGGTGGTTATTATATTTATGATTTCCGTCTTCCCCCCCCTTAATTTTGTATACGCTTCTGCTCTTCTTCTACAGCATGTACACGTGGTTCCACACCGCCAGCCATGTCTTCTTCGTGATGGAGTACTGCTCTAACGGAGACCTGTTCACGTACCTGAACGAACATGGCCCGTTCCCGGAAAAAAAGGTTGCAGAGATGCTGTTCGAAATTATATGGGCAATAAGGACATGCCACGATAAAAGAATCGCTCACCTAGATTTGAAGCCGGAAAATGTATTAGTCAATCATGAAGAGAAATGCAAACTTGCTGATTTTGGTTTATCAGCACACATAGGATCGAAGCATAAGAAGAAAGGAATATCTCATTACAGAGGGACCCATGATTATTGGTCACCTGAACAATGTGCAAGGCACCAAAAAAAAAAACAGAACTTTGGAGAATTTGATCAGAAGACAGATATTTGGACTTTAGGTATATTAGCATTTGAACTTAAATTTGGCAGACCACCATTTGGATCCACCAATGAAGAAAGAGAAACAGTAATCATGAACAGGATTCAGGATTATCATTGGAGTCAATTGTTTTGTGAAAAAGTAAAACAGGACTTGATTGAAAAATTGTCTCCAGAATTTAAGGACTTTCTAAATTTGTGTTTAGATAAAAACCCCAAAAAGAGACCAACAGCAGAATCCCTAATTCAACATCCCTTCATTTTTGTTCATAACAAGAGTAGGCCTTGCATCAAATCGTATGCTACACAACCCAGGGGCAAGCAGGGACCCAAGTTGAGTCACAAAGGGTTTAATGAGCAGGACGGCTCCTTCCTCACACCCATATGGTTTCACAATAAGGGGTAGACTAAGCGGCACACAGATGGGGTATAAAGTGCCTGCCCCTTTTTTCAGTTGGAAGTTTGATTTGTTTTGTTTTGTTTTTTTTTTTATTTTTTTTTTTTTTCGTGCGCCGTGGAGCGGCTAATCTTGGGGTCTCCCTTTTCCGTAATGCTTCCCCCCTACACACACCCTGCGCGTTACTACACCTGGGGGAGATCCGCGGGGATGCGTTCTGCCCACACGAGCGAATATATCTCCACCGCTAACACTTTTTGCAAAAAAGGAGAAACTTATTCTTGCCAAAAAGGCAAACACATTTTTTTATTTAAAAAAAAAAACGGGGGGTTAAAAAGTCTGTCTGTGGGGGTGCATGGCACGGAGGAAAAATACGGCAAAAAAAATAATAAGAGAGAAAAAAAAAAGGATCATAAATGCGCAGGTAAACATACGAGCAAACGCCCATATGTGAACATGTTTAAAAAACGGGGGAATAATACGCAGCACTGAGAAATGGCCGCTGTTAAACAACGCCTACACTTGGCCTACATTTCCGCCCCCCTTTATGTGTGCTGGTACATATAACCTCTTCTCTGCCCTTCCCCGACTTACATATTCGATATGGCATTTTTAAACTCGTCAAAGTGCATCCTGTCGTTGTTGTTTAGGTCCATGATGTTAAAAATGCTCCTGAGAGTTTCCTCACTGAATTCATTTTCAAATTCTTTGGCCGCCTGGATGAAGCCCCTAGTCGATATGTATCCCCTTTTGGAAATATCCAGCAAGTCAAACAAATTTTTCATTTTTTCCTTCGACTTGAATTTGTTAATATCACAATTGAGGGATGAGAGGAAGTCCTCCAAACTGATGGTGCTGCCATACATGTGAAAAAAGTCTAACAGGTCGTCGGAAATGTCCTTGTTATGATTTTCGTGCAAAAATTTTTGCACATTCTGAATCGTGACGCCTTCATTTTCGTTCTTCTTCATTTTTTTGAAAATGTACTCCAGGTTATTTATTTCGTCCGCGTTTAGGAACTTGTAACTGCTTTCGTTTTTTTTCCCCCCTCGCTGCTGTTCCTCCATTTTGGGAAGCGTCTCCAGGGGGGGGATAAAAAAAGCAGTCTCGCGTGCGGTATAACTAAAGCTGGTTTACCTCCACCTGAGGCACTACGCTGTGGCACTCAAGCCTCGCTGGGGTAATTCGAGCAAAGGTAGACCTCTTCCGAAATGCCATAGACGTCCTCGAACTTGAGCTCCTGAGTGGGGAAATGGCGCAATGGGGGAAAAATGTCGCGATGGGACACACGCATAATGCGCGGAAATGGCGATAAAAGGTGCGCACATGGCGCGGTAAATGCCGCGCTGACATGCCACGCCGATGAAGTGACGACGCGCTCACCTTGGACTCCAAATATTGATAAATGTGCGGGCGAATATGCTCATACGTGTGCTGTAGCGAAAAGTCCAGGAGGCGATAAACCAAAAACTCCACAGAGAAAATGAGCGAAGGCGTTAAGTTCTCCTTCTTGTCTAACTTTTGAATATAAAAAAGCAGCTTCTCCAAAATCTGCATGTCATCATGCTGGTAAAATTTGAGAGACAAAATGAGACAAGTAGCTGCGTAGAGCTTCCGATTGGACTTATGGACGTAGCCCTTAATGACCAGTCGTTCAAAAAAGACCCACGCGCAGCAGATGGTAGAAATGTCTATTTGAGGAATGTTAGAAATGAAATTAAAAAGATCAATTTTTAAATTTCGCAACTTAGATAATGTGAGGGATTTATGGATCCAAGGATTTATTTCACTAAATAAACCATTCACTTCTTCCTTGAGCTTTTTGGCCTTCACAAAAGGAATCACAGACACATTATACCCTTGCAGACACATCACTGTGTGATGCTTTCCTTGCTTAAAACGAGGATTAAATAAACAAAACGCATCATACTCATGCTTACTTGGAGTTAACAAATGTTCATATGATATGCCTTTCTTCCTTTCTTTTTTTTTCCTCTTCATTTCGTGCAAAATCAAACTCTTCTTTTTCATTTTCTCCGTAGTATTATCTCCACGTTCTCCCCTTTCCTTTATAGTGGTGAAATTTCTATTGGGTTCTATCACCATGGACTTTTTATTATACATGTTCAACTCTTTTTCCATCCCTCTGCGTATATCCTTTCCTGTCCTCAATGCATCCTCCGCGTGAAAGTTGCTCCCTACATGTTCGCCACCCCTCAGTTGCCTTCTTTCCTCATTTATTAAAAGAAACTTTCTGTCCTTCTCTCCGTAACGCCAAAATGCCCATCTCTTCAAAAACCGCACAACTCGATTATCCTCCTCTGCTTCATCAAAGTCATACTTCTCTTCCTCCACATCAAAATTGGGTACCCTCTTCTTAAAAATAGAAATTGAATAATTCACGTTCGCTGAGTCGTGACACACATTTTCGTTATATGGTTTGTACGACAGACACATGGTGTGCGTGTTGTGGTAGCACAGCAGGATTTTTGACGCACCGTGGTGCATGCTGGAGAAGCACTGGTTGTTTTTGTACGCGTCCACTTCCGCATTCTGGTGGATTCGGTTTGTACCCATCCTACTTGCGCTCTTCACCGGGGTTTTACCCTCATTGCTGCTGTCCTTGTGCCATACTACCTTATTACTCTGGTCATTCAGGTAAAAGTCAATGTGCTTCTCCTTACCTGGGCCCTCCGTCCCACCATCATTTTCCTGTCCTGAACTCGACTCCCCACTACTGCTCACATCGAAAATGCTGTTCTTCGTCTCAACGGCTGTGTTCAGAAAGGTCTTCGCATCTTTGAAGAAGTCCTCGTAGATGGTGAAGTACTTTGGTTCCTTCATTTGCAGAAGGGGAGCATCAAAAACGGGTGAACCGCCAAACGGGTGAAACACACCAGTGCAGCGCAGAGAGAAAAGCCTCCCCGATGCGCGCTAATCTTTATGCGGGTCAAGCTACCCTCTCTTCGTCGCCTAAGCGGGCCATTCCCCATGAGAGGTTATTCTCCTCATCTCATCCACTTCGCATGGAAGAAGCACTCATACGCAAAAAAAAAAAAAAAAAAAAAAAAAAAGAGCCACCAACCCGAATGTGTGCCCGTCCAACGAGTCAATCAAAGCCCCAAACGAAGAATTCCCAAAATGGGGAGCAAGTACAAAAAAAAAGGAAAAAATAAAATGGCCTAATTGCTCACAAGCTCATGACCTAACAATATTTCAACCCCATGCAGTCGTCACAATCAAAATTGCTTACTAAAAAAATGTTTATCGAAAGAGAGAGGGAATAGGAACACCCCCCAAAAAATGTCTTTTTTTTTGAGGCAATATTTGCCGCGTGCTGTACTGTTTGGGTATTGATGTTACCTTGCGCAGTCGCGCGTGCGGCTAAGGGAAGAGTTAGCCACACAGAACAAAAGGGGAAAAGAGGGTAGGCGAAATGGACGAACAAAAGTGAAACGGTCAGGGGAAAAACCCTCGAAATGCCTGAGGAATACTTCCAAATAGCAGGTGTAGGATGGGGAGGCCCTTTCGCACAATGCAGTTTCTACTTCCCCTTAGTGACTTATTAACACCTCTTTTTTAATGTTCCCTGTTTTGGTGGGAGGCAATTTGTTGACACCCCTTATAGCCGCAGCTAACATGGCAGCAGCAGGGTGGGGGGAAGGGGAAGCACAAAAATCTGCCCCAGAGGAGCGCCAATAAAAAAAAAAGGATTTCGCGGCCATACAACCTATGTGCAACCGCGTGGCCCCAGAATGAGGCTGAGAAATATACCCACAAGTATGCCTCCAAATTGGCATTCGCTAAAGACAAAGAAAAAATAGCAGCAAAAAAAAATGGCATCCCCAAATCAACAAGAAAAAACTTCCGTAATCTCTCCAACTGCACGCTGTAAATCTTCCTTGCTAGCTATTTTGGAAAAATACAATTTATGCTTCTGCGTGCCTTTCAACCCGAACTCCAGCTTTATCATGTGCGTCACTTCGTCGTACTTGGCAGCGTACGCCCCATCGGGCATGGCATCGTCCACCAAAGTGTGCAAATATATTTCATCAAACGAGAGACAGATCATCCCACCAATTGTGAAAGCCTTGAGAAAACGAAACTGCTCGAAATAATCACTCGTGCTGTACGTGTTCTGAACAATGGGGAAACCAGTCACTAATACGTTTTTGTCTGCCCGTTTTATTTGACCAAGAAGGGACGCGAAAGCTCTGTCGACGATACACTTCTCGTCACTGCAACTGTCGCTGTTCCCATTGCTGTGACGCCCACCTCTCACTCCGCCATTTTCTAGCTTCTCCGCCTTAAAACGAGCAACCCCTTGTCTTATACCCTCCTTCACCATTTCTTCACGCACCAGCTGCGCCATATTGATGGAGGAAAAATTTTTTAAATGAAAACATAGAAGAGATGATAGAAGCATCTGAAGCTTTTCGTTTTGAGGAATGAACAGGATAATGATTTGTGGGCAGAATAAACTGTCTGCATTTCGAGGCATGTCCTTGTTCACATAGATGGTCGTCACTTCAACGTCAGGGTGTTCCTTGGATATAACGTGCCGCAGGTCTCTCGCCGCTTGGTTATACTTGAGCAGCTTGTCCTCGCGCTTTGACCTGCCCTTCGGTTTGCCCTTGCTGTTCATCTCTTCCTCATCGGTCTTGCCTACCTTGTCATCAACCTCACCCACCTCGTTATCAACCTTGCCCGCTTCCTTATCAACTTTGCCCACCTCGTCATTATTGCTTCCCGCGTCGTCATTATCACCCTCCATCTCCGCCCCCTCGGGGTAAGACCCCAAAGGATTGCTACCCCCAGGCGCATCGACTCCATACACCCGGTCGTCATTTAGCGCCGCACAAGTGTTCCCTCCATGGACCCCGCTGCAGTCACCCCGGAACAAGTTATCCCCCTGCACACTGTGAACAAGCTGAATGACTTTCTTAAAATTTGTGAAGCGACCAAATGCATCGACACAACTGCCATTCTCACCAACCGTCCACAAGGGCACATCACACAACACAACATTTGCAAATAGATATTTGCTTGAATGTTTCACAACCCCCTCCAAGTACGTCACATAAATTTCTCTGATCGTTTTTTCCTTTTCTCCTTTTACACTATCAGCTAGCTTTTTTACATACCCTTCCGATTTTTCTTCAAGGATGGAAGGTAACTCCCTTAACACGTCTTCACAAAACAAACAGTGAAATGAACCCCCATTGGAGTCTTCTACGACTTTCCTTTTTACAAACTCCCTCACATCATAGTTGTCTGGGGCGTGGTAGCAAATCAGGTTGGGTCTAATTCTGTCCTCGATTTTTTTCAAAATTTTTTTTTTTTCTTCATCCTCTAGTTGGTTATCTTCTTGGGCGCCCTCCGCGGGGTTATCAGTGGGGGGAAGCTTCTCCCCTGAGCAATGTCCACTATTGGTATCCTTCTCATCCCCTTCACCACCACCATTGTTGCTCTCCACCTGTACCACTCCCCTCACCGGTGACGAACCTACCTCCACTGTTAGGAGACTCCCCCTACTGGCGAACCAGAGAACCGTACCCGCCAGGGGGGATACTTGTGCAGATGCGGCGTCGAACAAGTCAAGCGGGGGAAGTAGGTCACCGTGGCTGGGCTTCTGCTCACCCTTGTCACACCCGCTTCCCTCCTCAGAAGCACCCCCTGCCGGTACAACCAATATGCACAGCTTGATGTCGAAAAATAGCTCCAACTTTCGAAAGTCCTCTACTCCTAAATCGCTAGGAAAGCCCCCAAATACAAAATAGCTGGCGTTTAACCGAGAAACAAAGTTGTTCATTTTTCTTATTATTTGATTTACTCTCTCCTGATTTTTGCCAGTCATGTTATTTTCCTCAAACATGTCGTCAATGAGACGCTGCATGGAGTTGGGATAATCCCTAATCCCTTCCCCTTCACTCATAAAGTTCAAGTCACAAAAGACAACGCGAGGATATTCATACTGCAGGTATAGGCCAATAAAATCAACACTCTTTAAAGTTAGGTTAGAAATGAGAATGACACTCCTTTTTGCTACACTTATCAGATCAAACAGATGGTGCACACCTGAGGACAGCTTCTCTGCCTTATTGTTCATATCAAATTGATGTACTGTCACCCCTTTACTCATTTGGGAAGCATCCCCTAGGACGAAAGAATTGTCCACCTTGTAGTGAGCAGCCTTGTTGTCTCTTCCTCCATTTCTGTTCTTCCCCAGTTGAAGCAACCCCTGTTGCGTCTCCTTGCACTCCAAATGAACCGCATTATCACCCACTCTGCAATTAAAATGAAACACCACCACCTTTGCATTTGTCTTTCCTTTTATCACTTCCACCTGCTGCATACTAAGGGGAAAATTGCACAGGATAAATCTTCGGTAATCCTTATCCTTTAGAATGTTCAATCTTTCAATGAGGAAGGAGAGTAGCCTATCGGAGGGAGCACAAGAAGGGTAATCCAGTCCGTCCTCACATAATACCTGCCCTTGTTTCTTCCTCCTATCCTCGTTAAACAACTTAACATGGTCAAGGAAAAGGTAGTTGTAACACTCCACCAAAAATTTTATTTCACTCTTCAGGTGATTCAAGTTCACTCCCAAAAGGACCACTATCTCTATTTCCAAATTTTGAATAAAATTGTCGAAGAAATTTTTCCCCTGTCGGTAGATCAGTATTTTCCCCTTATTTAGGAAGTGCTCTATGAGGTGCTTCCCGCCTCCATGCAGGAGCGAGAGGAACGAGTCTAGTTGTGCACTACTACCCATCTCGCCACTTTGCACATTTTCGTTACCCATCTCTCCGCTTTGCACATTTCCACCCTCCTTCACAACCAGCAAGCAAAACGCTGTGGGGATTATATCCTCTCGTGTCAAGTAAACCAAATCAATGACACCATAAAAACCAGTCAACACGTAGCTACTGTAGGACCTATTCCTGTCCAGATTCTCCTTCAAAATTCGCTTTACCAAATCTACCGTCAACATGCTGTACTTCTTTTTCGTGTACTCTATTTTTTTCCCCAGCAAGGATTTCTTCTTCTCCTCCTTCATGCACAGGTCACTAAAACTTAAATTAATGTAACCTAGTCTCTCCAAATGCTTTATAAGGTTTAACCTAGTCTCATCATTATCTTCGCTAATCGGGGTATTCTTCTTCCCCCCGTCGTGAATGTCCGGTACGATGATAATTTTTTTGTTTCCCTTGGGTGTTTTGTGAAAGATGCTGATTTGGTTAGGATCCTCCCGTTTGGTTACTCCACCTGCATTGCCACGTCCGCTACCTACGGGATTACCACTACTATTACTGCTTTGTTTCACTTTCTCCCCCTCCGTTGCGTCAGCTACTCCAGCTTTGTCCTTCCCCCCAAGCGGGTGCACATGTCCCATTTTTGTCCCGCCCTCTTCTTCCTTCTTCTTTACGTCGACCAAAATATCTTCCTTTTTCTTCCTAAACCACTCGCTGAGCCACATTATGGCTGCCTCTTCACTCGGTTTTGATTCACACATTTTGGTAAAGCATTCCAGAAGGACCTCCCTCAATTTAATATTTTCCTCTTCCTTGTCATAATAAGTAACATTTTTGCAATACAAAAAATTCTTTACCATGTCGACTGTAATTGAGTCGTTATATTTTTCGAAGAGAAAGTACTGTCTAATGAGGTTATTCATTTTTTTTTTATCCTTCACAAATATTAAGTCATTGTTTTCAAGGCTGAACATGCTTCTCATACTGTTTGGCCTTTTCAATTTGGAGTCCTTGACGCTCTTCCCTCCCATTAGGTAATGAAGACATGTGATGCAGTTCACTCTCGAAAGGGTGATGATTATGTATTGCGTCTGTGATCCTACACTGGGCACTACCATTCCGGGTTCTTCAATTATGTTTCTCAAACTATCTTCGTCAATCGATACAATTTTCTCCTCCAACACGTTGAATCCATAATCATGCAAATAATCTCGCAGATGGTTTAAGTCCTCTCCACTTAGTGCACCTCTTCTTATTAGCAAAATGCCATTTTCGGTGCAAAAATTTTCTTCACCAAAAAAGAGGTTTATCTCTCTGTCTATGTTGTCCTCACTGGGGGTGTGCTGCAACGGAGAAAAAAAATATATATATACTTCGTGAGGAACACATGCGTCCCCCATCTCGGTGTACATATTTAAACGCATGGACCTCTTTTTCCATTTGTGTCCTCCCCCGACCACACAACAACACCTACCACAGCATTCCGCATCGCACAAGTTCCATACTTCTTCTTCAAACACGCACTCGGCATGTCTTCAAAGGGAACCATAGAAGAGCAGGGGCCACACAAAATCTTCGCCAGCCTTATACAGTTCTTCCCCTCAACAATTAGGCACACTGAAAAGGGAAAGGAAGCACAAATGAGAGATGCAAACCGGGGTATAGTCACACATATGCATCTTTTGACGCGCGCCCATTTGTTCCAGAATCGCTCAACTTTTATTTCTATCCCGTCCGTCTAACCTATTCCCTTCGCAGATGTCATAAATTCTATCAAGGCATCATAGTAAGGCTATTGGGAAGGGGGGGGGGGGGGGAAAATACAAAAATAACAATGCCGAGACGCTCTAACGTGCCGATAAGACACCCTTCTGCGAAGCATATATCTACGTACCTTCCCTGCCGACCCCTCGTACAGACTGCGCGCCCGCTCCGCAGATAAAATGCCCCTCTTCACTGCGACGATCAACAAACCAAAATTCAAAATGTCATTAACTATGTCACCTATCTTGTTCTGATCTATCACGTCCGGCTTTAATATTATCAAAGTTCTTTCCAAAAAATTGTGGTCCCGGGGGGGGAAGAAGTAATTCAGGTCTCTACTAAAGTACCAGTCATTTTTGCTGAAGTAGAATGGGACATTCCTGCACTTTAAGTTGCACTGGTATTCTAGGCTGTCAGAAGAGGGGTCCAAAAGGGAGGAAACAAAAAAAAAAGGAGCGACGCATGAGTGGAGCGGTGTCAACGTGGTCACACCTAAACATGTGAATAGATGTACATGCACGTGTCTATGCACACACTCCATCCTCACACGCTCCTATGTATAACCATTCGAAGTATTTTTCATCCTTTATCAAGATAGATGTGCTCTTAACTAGCGAATTCAACTTTTCCGCCGTGTTGCCTTCGATGTGTTCTACCAAGGAAATGACTGACAGCCCGCTTTCCACGTACGCGTAAAACTCGCTTATACTGCTGTACTGCTCAGGCTTGTCGTTTATTATTTCTTTTATTTCATTCTTCGCGGGAACGAAAAAGGGGGAAATAATAAAAAAAAAAAAAAATGATAAAATGGTAAAATGACAAAATGCATTGCAGTCAAATGGGTCCGCCCAAAAACACCTGCCATCTGTTTAATACGCGAAACGCCAAAGATGCGCTTGTTCCTTTGTCCACTATCGTTAGTAGTATCTCCCAGTATGTCTCAATCTCGTGTGCTCAACTGTGGGACAACTTGTGCGTACTAGTCTCTCCATCTTTGGATCCCTTTTGCGCATTTTGTCTATTCTCAATGCGTTTGACTGCATAACGAATGCCTACGCGCCAAAGCGCCATGATTAACTGTTTCGTGCTTGTTTACTTCTGTCAAGTGCACTTTCTTCCTTTTTAAAATGATAAAGTTTTTTTCTTCTAGTTTTTCCAGAACCTCTTCATCCTGTGTCAGCGCGAACGATCGGTATGTGTTTCAACATCTGCGCATGTGCAGATGTACGTATGCATATGCATGTCCACACTGGTCTGCTGTGAACTCATCCATTTTTCACCCCCGCGTCACTCATTTCATAAAACTGCGCTAGTGCGGTTCATAACGACCTCTCCCATTTGTTACTTTAAAATTGTTGGTAACGTCCGGAAATATGATAAAAATACATCTTTCGTCTTTCATCATGATTCAGCGCGAATACAGACACAAGTGGAGAAATGCGTGTGAAGGTACTGTCATTACACCAGGCATAGTACACAAAAAAAAAAAAGGTGAGTTCTCCTTTTGAATAATCTTGCTTAATACAGTTCCTTCTGATGCTCATTAGTATAAGCAAAAGGATTACAAATAAATGAATAACGGCCATTTAATTTTGCTCCTTTTTTTTTTTTTTTTTTTCTTACAATGAAAAAAGGGCTTAAAGGTATTTTAGACATTCCCCGGAATTTATTTTTACGTACAAAGCGTACCAACAAATGATGCGCAGAACCTTTACCTGCGCAGGAAAATAAAATAAAAAGTGCAATTTATATTTTAAAGGAAAAGGCTTATCCCATCTTCGAGTGTGCTGAACAGCGATGCTGTCCACATGGAAATCTTGTTTCGCCAATTTGTTAAAAAATTATGCATTAAAAAAAAAAATAAAATAAAGACAATTTTTGTTTTCCCCTACGTCTCTCCAATTTTGGCAAGAAAATTTGTTAAAAGAGGAGTTCCTCTTAACTGCAAGTATCAAATGGTGTGTTTCTCGGGCTTTTCATCCACAGCGCATGTATGCCATTTTTAACTATACTGCATGCCCATTACTCGTTAGCTGTAGCGTGGCCTCATGCGATATGGATGCGGGTTTCGCAGTAACGTAATTGTCAATTGCGGGGTTCCTCTTAAAAAGGCCCATACCGTTACACCATGCAAAATGGATAAGCGGAAACACATGCATACACATGTGTACATTACGGCACTCCAATATCCTCGTCGCATTCTTCACGTTTTAAAGAAATTGTACTCGGCTGTGCACGTCTTAGGTGGTCTACTCAGCATCAATTGCAGCGACGCCATGGTCAACCTCTTCGCTGAATTGGCAAAATGACAAACTCGTCGCTCTCATGTCTTCAATACCATTTTGAAGCATTCTTAAAAAATACAAGAAATAAGTTCACGCAAAAGTTCTCATTTTGGAAACGCCTCCAATTCCAGGCCACTTTGCAACAATGCTCAAAGGTATATGTGTTCCCCACTTTTGCATTTCACGTGGTAGCGATCGAAGAGAAATTATAAATAAAAAAAGAAAGGGCTGGTAATACGGGGGGTCTGTGCCAGTACCCCAATTTGATATACACACACATGCAAAAATTTGTCAATGCATTGTTTACTGTTCTATAGTGAGAAAACAGACGAAAGTGTGTGCAACTGTTTTTTTTTTTTTTTTTATGTAGCTAATTGATCATAGATATAACTAGCTACAAAACAGTTTGGTTTATATTTTACCTGAACAACTATTCGAATTTGTTCATAAAAAAAAAACATTTTTTTTTTTTTTTTTAATTTTCATACCTATTCGTAGCTAACATGTACCTGAAGTGGTCATATTTTTTTGTCTTTAAACAGCTATCGGCGCGCTGCAACCGTCTGCTTTGTGCCGTTGTAAATTAGCTGTTCACAAAAAAAAAAAAAAAAAAAAAAAAAAAAATATGCATACATCCGTGCGGGTATTTATTTTCCCTTTTTGCACATGTTGTGCACATACGGCGTAGACTTCCAAAACGTACTTCCAACTCGTCAAGCAAGGAGCCTTTTCCTTTATAAGTAAAAAAGGACTTTTAACGAATAAGACAGTAGCAGTTCTCTTCAAACCTTGTCCAACATATGCACGTTTTTCGCGCTGCCTAGCATAAGGATGAAAAACGTTTTAATTTTTAATACACATCCACATGCAAACGTATAACTATACGTGCAACTATATGTACAGCATTAGTAACTGCGTGCTTGCCTCCTCGTGCGTGTTAACCGTTGTAACTGTATTTACTTTAACTTCTATTGTTCTATGGCTGCGTTTCTCGTCAATTTGTTGAGATTCCCAATTGTTGTTGCAGAAATGTCTCAGCAACGGTTTGTAATTCTTGAACAATTTACCCCATTTCACTAAAAAAAAAAAAAAAAAAAAATAGGCTTAAATTAGTGAGTGCGCTCTGTGCAGAAAAGAATATGGACGCACGTAGCTACACACTTTTGTACATTCACTCCCCTTTGTTTCGCAATTCTCATACATTCATAAAATCAAAGCGTCATATAGCAACGCGTAGAAATCACAATTCTACATAGAAGAATATCGCGAATAACTGTGAGGCACAATTTTTGACAATAAACGAATGCATAAACAAGTTGAGCGTGTTTAGATTGCCCCCGATTGTTAACAGACGCATTTGTTCACGTCGCTACACACCTTTCCGAGCGTGTCTGCGTGTACTCATTTACTACCCACGAATAAATCCCCCCTTCCACTGTTGAAGTGACAACTATTTTCTTCTCACTTTTATCGCACACTAAAAAAAAGAGGCAAAATGAATAACTCCTCCACGGTAGCAACGAACGAGAGTCCCCAATTTCAGAAACCCGTGATTTATAAAAATCGGGCCAGAAGCATGATGCACCAGAGTGTCAGGAACGGGTCAGAAAACCAACAAACGGAACAAGGCAATGGGACGAGCATCCGGGACAAAATCAGAAAGCTCTTTTTCAGCAAGCATGATCAGACCATAAGAGATTTGCAGAAAACGAAACTCACAACGAATAAAAGCATTCAAGGAAAGGAACCAAGTGAGAAGAGTGTAAAGGAATTCCTTCCTACTGATCATCAGAACGTAGAATGGCAACCAGTGTATAGAGAAACTTGTAAAATAAAACTTCCAGTGGACGAAAGTACGACGAAAATAACCTTGCCAGATGAGGTGCTGGATGACTGGGTTGATAGTCAAAAGAAGATTTCGCAACAGTTGGGGCGTAGGCAAGAGGGGGAAAATGTCCAGGAGGATCAATACCAGGAGGACGACCTATCTGAGCAGGGCACAAACTGCCTTTTTGGAAAAAACGACTCCAAAAAATCCTGCAGGCTTAACAGCACCAAGGATCAGTACTCCAAGTTTAAGTACTATTACAACTACTATTTGGTAGACGAGTACTTAGAGTCCCTGGCTGGGTCCCAAAACAAAAACCTAGACGCCACTGGGCTGGATGAGCACGGCCAGCTGTACGACAACGTGAGTTTGAACGTGAAGCCAATAATCGTCTCAAAGCAGAGACTGGAGAACGGAGTCCCCTATGACCCATCCAAGTTGCTCCAGTGATTGGACACGTCACCGTCCGCAAGGTGAGGTGACCCAGGAGATCAGAAAACGAGCCGCGGTCGCGGAGGACCCGGGGTGCCCCAAAAGGGAGTTATTCCAATGGGGGGTATTTTCACGCGGGGGTTATTCCAAGGGCAGGTGTTCAGGGTTTAGGGTTGCAACCGAGCGCCACCCAAAAATTGTTGCCCTCCTTATAGTGTACCTTTGCACACACCTCATAAAAAACAAAAAAAAGAAAAAGAAAGCACCCACTTAAAGATGCTTTTCTCTCCACGATGATGCAAACTTCAATTGCATGCTTAACGCACGACATATGTATCAGCAAGTAAGCTGTTACAAGTTTCCACTGCCAGAAGTGTTTTCCCGTGAAGCGCCACCTAGAAGACGTATACAAACGGTGAAAACTGCGTAAATATTTCCCCGTACCACTTTTTTTTTTTGTCAAAAATGTATGCTGAGCGGGCATGTTATTTTTGTGGCGCTGTTTGTATAGCGGTGCTTGTTGGCACTTTGTAGAAGCCTGGCAAACATTTGCACAACCTTTAAGAAAACTTCTGCCATTCGTTGGGGCACGTCCTTCAGGGCGTACATCTCAACGGGCTCAACACCTAACACAGGTGTACATACTAACACTAACAGTTGGAGTAAATTTGTTCCTGTTGTCGCAGGGGCAGGGGCACGGACAGGTGTCGTGTCCAATCATTCAGATGAGCTTCTTCACACGCAGCGTGTAAAAAGAGGAAACTATGGGGGAAAACAACATATACACAAGCACACACTAAAAATGGGTTGCAATATGCTCCAAAAAAAGAAGGCAAAAAAAACTCCCTTTGCATGCATTTTCATGTGTGCACCTCTCCACTTAGATGAACAAATAGATGTAGCGCAATTTGATGCTGCTATATACAAATGGGTTGCTTCGTTAAGGCACACATGTCACACACGGGGTGTGGTGAATTAACCCCGCCTTGCCTCCCCTACTGCCGCACCCTGACTATGGTCGAGTACCCCTTGTTGTTCTTCCTAACCCTGTAGAAGCAGTTTGTTAACCCATACTGTGAAAGTACATCCACAAAGTGCGTATCGTGCGTGATGAGAATAAGTTGGAAAGCGGAGCTGTCCTTTCTGAGGTCCACAATATTAGCAATGAGGCTAGCAAGATTTTTCGAGTTGGACTTATCCAAATTTGTCGTCGGTTCGTCTAGAGCTAGAATTCCACATTTGACGGAAAAGGATTCTGCTAGAGCGAGTCGAATGATGATGGAGGATAGGACTTTCTGTCCAGAGGAGCACCTTCCTTTCATATCGAGTTCACAGTTATCCTTAACCATGACAACGCGATAATTATATGACCTCCTCTGGTGAATTTTTCCATTATTCTCCGTCTGCACCTCAGATTTTATGTATATATAATCAATGTCGGCACTATTGTAAACCCTCCTCCATAAATTCCTAATGGACATATTAATTTCTTGCATCTTCAGAGAATGGAATTTAATTATTGCTTGATCAAAGGAGTTGTAAAAGTTACAAATATCTTTGATCACATTTTTGTATACAAAAATTTCGATCATTTTTTTTTTATATTTTTTTTCTATATCAACATAAGTGTCAGAGTTCATTTCGCTAGTTAGTTTGTCTATGTATTCTTTCCTCAATTCAATTTTCCCCTTCATTTCTGCTTCTTTCATTTTCAGACTAGTGGTCGCTTGGGAGTGAAATTCTATTTGGTCACTCAAATTATCTTCTTCCATGTAAACCAATTCAAGTAATTCCCTTTTCTGATCCAAGAAGGAAAAACTCTCATCCAAAAATTTGTAAATGTCACAATCGGTTTGGTATACTTCCTCCATAAAAGCTATCATGGAGTTCATTCTATCCAACTGTTTGTCCTTTTGTTCAGGCGAGAAAAATGCACTTTTAAATTTCTCTAGTGAAGAAATGAAATCCCTTTGGTGCAGTAAAAACTTTTCCTGCATTCTCTTTAAGTTGGTATTCATAACAACATTGTGGTGCATTTTTTCAATGTTTATTTTTTCTTCCTGTAAAGACAACATTTGCTCCTTTTTTTGACTTACTTTTTTTGCAAGTTCGTTTGATTCATTTTGTATAATTTCGTTACTCTCTATCTTGTCCTTCACTCGTTTCAGTTCCTCTTTTTTTTGTTCCATGTCCAATTCAATATCGGTCACGAGTTTGTGTAGCAGCTTCACCATCTCCACTTTGATGTAACACAATTTATTTTGAAGTACCATGTCGTTTCTGCACCTTCGAATGTTCCTCCCTATGTGCTTATCTCGCATGTGCAGTTCTTTTATGCTTGTCACCATTGCCTCTTCTCTTGTGTACAAACGATTCTTTCTACCACGATGGTTCGAGATATACTCCTGCGCTTTCAGGATGGATTCCCTAATTTGTTTTTCCCTTTCTACACTGCGCTCTGCTTCCTCTGTCTTCCTCTTAATGATTTCCTTCTTCTCACGAATGACCGATTTTATGCGAACTGCAAGGTCGATTTCTTGCTCCTTCTTCAATGACTCCAAAGTGATGTACATCTGAAGTTTGTCGTATGCCTTTATGAATTTACCATAATTGGTCCATATTGACTGGAGGGTGTCCATTTCATTTGGGTTCATCTCTGAGGGGGGGGTTCCCCTCCCATTTGGTTCGTCCACTTGGCACTTGCAAGGTTCATACACGGGGGTGTTACTCCAAAGGGGGGGCGTTTTTTCTTCCCCAAGTTTTGCGTAATTAGCAGAGCAGTCTTTTGTTTGTGGACAAAAACTCCTCGAGTTGTCATCTATTTCGTGTGATTCATTTTTTGGCTCCACCCCCCACTTGGTGTTCCCCTTGTACTCCTTCCCCGCTTCGTCTTGGTTCATTTCTCCTACCACACCTTGGTGCATCTTACTCTCAACCCCATTTTGCAATGTCGCCCCGAGATCACGGAACAGCTCTCCTTCCCAACTAAATAGGACGCAGCTGTCTTCCACGTATTCATTAACTTTCTCCACCATCAAGTGAACATCTGGGCACTCACACAGGAGCTTAATGTTGGGGAGAAACTCATGAAGAAGCTGACACAGATTTTTTTGTGAAGACGAGTTCCCTCCGAGCAACTCTACCATTGCAAGCAGGGCTTCCCTATGCTGCTTTCCCTCGTTGCGCATCTGTCTTAGCCCACTGACAGCAGCCCTCACATCAGACCGCTTCTCGTCCAGCTGGTCTCTCTCACAAAAGATATCCGTTTCACTCTCCATCAGACGGGTGCACCTCTCCTGCAAAAGCTTCATCATTTGGTACTTGCCATTAATTTTATGTATCCTGTCGGAGCAAATGTCTACCCCATTTTGCAAATCCAACACTTCCTTTTTAAGTGAGTCAATAATTTCATTCAGAGAGGCGCTGTCTCTGTGTAGGGGATCAACCTCCTTATAGTAATGTCCTAACAGAATCATCAATTCTTTTTTTTGGCCTCTTAAATTTGTGAGCGTTTTTTCCTTGTCCTCTATCTCTAGGGTTATATCTTTCCTTTCTTTATCCACATCTAGCAAGGGGAACCCGTCCAGAGAAACATCAGCCATGTGTCCTTTGCACAAAAGACACGCATTCCCCCCTTCGGCATGCTGTATAAAACGACTCAGAGACTCTTCCTTAGTTTTTAAAGAGACAATCTCCATTTTGATATTGTTCATATCCTTCCTAACTTGACGTACGTGAACAAAAAAATCTTTTACGCTTTTAAAATTCTTCTTCTCGAGCATCCCCCAGAACTGAGCTAGCACGTCTGGGTAACGTCCTACACGCTTGCTCACATCCAGCAATGCTTCACAAGTTAGTACCAATGTTTGTTTCAATTTGGAGGTATTTTTTTCCACCTCTTTTATTTTATTATCGTACTTATTTATGTATTGCCCTATCACATCGTTTAATTTGTTCAAGTAGCTTTGTCCAGGGGGAGGTTCCATCTTGAACACCTTTTTGCGCTTCAGTCGATTATGCGTCTCGTCCATAGAATCGTTCATCCGTTTGTTCCTTTTACTGCAGACTTCTCCATGGGAGGCCTCTCCAGTGAAGGCCTCCCCGGTGAAGACCTCTCCATGGGAGGGCTCCTCCTTGTCGGGGCACTTACTCGAATCCGCGTCGGAGGGATTCCCTAATGATGTGAAATTTTCCATTTTGGTAATTTTGGCCAAATTATTTGTTGCTGCTGATGTTGCGTGCTCCTCTTCGTTGGGGTCTTCTCCATCCTGGCCTCCCCACTCGGCTTGCCCCTCAATGTCTTCTTTCTCCTCCTCTTCTTCTCCCGTAGAGCATTCCTGCCCGTAGTCTATTCCCTTTGCCAAATGCGCTTCTTCCGCCCAATCTCCGCTAGGCTCCCCTATGGAGCGGCATATCTTGGGTACATTCCGCAGTTCGTAAAGAAGGGCTCGGCGCTCATCGAAGAAGGATGCCACCTTGCGACGCACCCTCCGGAGGCATAAAAAATATTCAAAGGTTTTCTCATAGTGTTTTCCAAGGAGCATCACTTTATCCATTTGCTTCTTCAATTCTTCTATTTGTCTGAGCTGCCTTTTCTTACCCTCAATGTCGTCATCCATATGACTGGACGTCTCCCCGCAGGTCGCCTCGCTCAAGCCAATGCTATCGTAGACGCATCCCAGCTGTTTCATTTTGTCCAGGTGGTTACAATTCTCCTTGTACGACTCATCGCTCGCTTTGAAATTGGCCAAATAATCTTTGTGCCTTTCCATGGCGGAAATTCTTTTGTCCATTTTTATTACCTTCCTTTTCCACTTTTTTGCTTTTTCCATGAGGATCTTTTTTTTCCTCCTAATACGGAGTCGCTCCCTGGCGTCCTTCCGCACCTCGACTCTGAGCAGAGCCAGCGCTTCCTCACCTCTCCTGCGCATTTGTTTGAAGCAGGGAAAACTTCCTCTTGTGATGGTTTCATTGGTAGGGTCCCCACGCATGCTCTCACCGTCGCCACTCCCATCATCGCTATGCGCATCATCTTTATGTCCATCATCGCTACGCTCAACACTGCTGGTCGCTCTCCCTCGGCGGAACACCCATTTGGGACCAGTTCCCCCAAACAGGGCCCTCCACTGAACCAGCAAGCCGCCAAAAATTGGCTCATTCGCCGTGATAAAGCTACCCACCCTGGTTCGCTCCTCAGAGAGATTCTTCCCCACATGTGTCCTCTTCACCCCACTCGCCATGGATGGGTGATCCACATCCAAAATGGTTTTGATCAAAGTGTGTGCTTCCCCCCGTCGTTTCTCCAAATGAAATAAACTAGAGCATATTTCATCTCGCCGTTTTACGTTCGCTTCGTCACACGAATTAATAGGCAAACAGGTTTGCTTCTCCAACAGGGCAAACTCATTACTAACTTGTTCAATGAGGAGGTTACACTTAGCCAAGTCCCTCTCGAACAGTTCAGCGAAGTGTTCTAACTCGGATGCATCCTCCTCATATATCTCTTTCACATTTTTATAATTTTGGAGGTCGTCTTGGAATTTGTCCAGGATAGCAAAATACATATCAACACTTGAACTCAGTTTTCTCAACAAGAATTTCTTCTTTTCTAAAGTATTTAAAAGGACAAAACTTTCTTCTATTTCTTCCTTGTCCAATTGCATAATCGTTTGGCACTCTCTTATTTCCTGTTCATTCCTTTGAATGTCCAAAGCCACATTTTTTTTTTTATCGTAGCACTGTCTCAAGGTAGCCAATTCATATTCCTTCCTCTTCAAAACATCATTCATAGTTTTTCTACATTTTGTAAATTCATCCAAAATTCTGGAGAAGTTATCATCCCCAAAAAGCTCATCGAATTTTTTTTTTATTTTTACTGACTCACTAAATGGCCACAGACTCTCCTCATGGTGACATAAAATTACATTTTCCAACAGAGCCTTTGACACCCCCATTAGTTTGGGAATGTGCTCATTTATGTCTAGACATTTGTTCGTAATAATTACATCGTCTTGTCCTTGTTCTTTTTTTATAATTATATTATTGTCCAGGGCTCTAAAGCTATGTTTTATTTTTTTATTTTTGTCTTTACAATAGAAAAGACTAAATGATCTGGATATACCAATCCTTTTGTTGTTATAATTTTTTAAGAGCAAATTTATCTTTCCTCTACTGTTCATTTTGTTTGATATTAATGGGTCGTGTATAAATGACTTTCCCTTATCTGCATTGGGGGGGAAGTCCCCCGTGCAACTCATCTTCAAACATTCAATGATTGTTGATTTTCCGCTCCCATTGTTTCCATAGATCACCGTAATGGGCGATGCGAACTCCAACTCCTGCGCCTCCTCGTCCCCGTAGCTCCGGATCCCCTGGATCCCGATCTTCTCCAGGGTCGTCATCGGGGTTCACAATGGGACAAAGCGGCGGAATAATGAAGGGGTAGCAGCGGAGTAGAGGCGGAGCAGCAAAGCTGCAGTGGTGGGCATCACCCCACTATGCCACACCTTTGCGTGCACATAACCTGTTCACCGAGTTGACTACCCTGGGAGACACACACCTCTTCCCTCCACAAACGTCAAGTCAAAGGACGCCCAACCAAAATGACTTGTTCACAAAAAAAGGGAAGTTCCGACCAGCAATGTGACAAACTGGGCACGAGCGATGAAGCAAATCAGCAAAGCATATGTCACTCTGCCCTGGTGTGGATAGGCAAAACGGAGGGAGATCCTTCCCTCCTCTGCATCCCATAGGCTTACAACTGCTTCGCACAGTTCAACCACAGGGGGTCACTCACACAACTTGTGCGTGTGTAATAAGGATCGAATCAAAAATGGAGATGAAGCCAACTCCAGGACTTAAACAAATCTAAGGTGTATGTACACTCTTTCCAAAAAAAAAAAAAAAGAAGCCAGTTCATAAATTGGGAATGCCATAAGGAGCACTTCCACCACAATTTAACGGATCAAAAAGAATAACCTAAATTGCTAAGTCACATGACAACATAAAAAAGAAGTAAAAAAAATAAAAATAAATAAAATAAATGCCCAGGGAACAGAGGAGACCAAACAGGTCGTATGCCCAGGCCCCAATGTGTGTATCCTACTGATGGCCATTTGTAAAACAACGCAAATGCACTTTTCGCCTGAACAGGCAAGGTAAAATGAGGAAAATTAATTTAAAAAAAAAAAAAAAATAGCTAAAAAAGAATTCATCCCATTTTACACATCATAAAAATGCTTCTTCAATGTGGAGTTGTTATTATCACACATCTGAGTGTTGTTGCCTTTTCCCGAGTGCTGATACGTTTCCGCCTTTTGATTGCCCACTTTCACGCGTGTCAATGACAGTAGGGGGCAGCCACACCTTCAGAGTGAGGAGCGCTACTTGGGACAGTTGCACAAGTTAACCAGACAATTTGAAAAAGGTCCTTAGCAGTGGGGGACCTCTAAAAACGGTGCACCCCTTTTCCCTTTAAGTTAGCCATTTTGCTTATTCCTCTTTTATGTTCATTCGGGATGGAATTATCCCACGCACACATCCTTTCTCTAGCTGGTCACCCGTTTTTGGCAGCCTTTTCCTGCGCCGCGGTGTACCTTTTTTTTTTTTTTTTTTTTTGTTTTCCGCCACGTTAGATAGATTTTGGTGGGGAACTAAAATGGAGAACACAACGATAGGTAATCATCGTAAAGACGTGTAAAGCGCAATGGTGTGTTGCTCTTCTGAGCTGTTACTACAAAGGAAGGCAGTGTTCCTCACACACTTCTCCACAAAAAGTGTGTTGGGCCTCCCTTTTAAGAAACCTTTAAAGCAAAATGAAGGGTGGAAAAAATATGACAAAATTACATCTTGAACCAAATTAATTGTGCGCATGCAGTGAGGAGGGGAGTAAAAGTTGGTGTAAGCTCTGCAGGAGTGTCGATTGGGGAGACTTAGTCCATTTTTGTAAATATGCGACGTTGCGGTGGGACGCACACGATTGAACGTGGCTCTTTGGAACATCACCCTTTTCGTTACAACCATGTGCAGTTAAAAACAAGGGCCAAGTGATGAACGTAGAATAAAGCTTAATGAACGCACCCACGGGCGCAAGGATAAAAAAAAAACCTGCCGTAAAAATTTCCTCCGACATAAAAAAAAATAATCGAAGGGTGCAGATCGACCAATTTTGGGAAAACAATCTACACCTATCACGTGTTTGTCCCTTTTCTGTGTAATCATGCAGCTGAATGGTTTTCCAAAAAAAAAAAAAAAAAAAAAAAAAAAAATTGTCATTTTTCAGTAAGTGGGAAATTCCACCTTGTTCCCTATGTGCCATTGCGAAGGAAAACAAAAACGATTGCTTTCCTTTCACTACCATTTGAACGTCTCGCAATTTACTCGACCTTTTTTTTTGGTGAAAAATAAAACCCTTCCTCAAAATTTTCCTCCCAGCTGACAATTCACCCTCGTACCATTTTAAGAGCTCCTGGATTTAGCAAACCACGTCTGCGAGTTTCCACACGACGTGGCTCCCCTCTCCCCCCCTTTTTTTTTTTTAATTCACCAATGAGCAGTTGCACCGGTCCAACACACAACGCTGCCCAGCCCTAATCTGTGCATGGGCCAAAATTTTAAAAGGGAAAAATGTTAACCCAGGGAAATTTTCCCCATGAGGAAAGTAACACAAATATATATATAATGTAAAAGCTATTTTTAAACGTATACAACACTATTTGTCATGTGTCATATGCGGGACATTCAGGGGTGATGACCCGGGGGAGCTGAAGAGGAACCCGTCCTGTGCCCACTGTGGGGGAAAGGGACGAAACATGGCGCAGCTGGCAGTCACATTACGGCGTGTAAAAATGGGGGGTTTAGAAAAGCGTCAGGTTTAGGAGTCAGAATTGCCAAACACTTGCGAGGACACCCTGACGAAGCGCGTCCACCGCCTTTTTGGGCGCCAAAGACGCTTCACGCTTTTTTTATACTTCACCGCCACGATCGTACAACATGGCTACCGCATGGACGATGCCGTTTTTGAATTTTTTCAAAATGGTACCCTTTCCTAAGCATGCCCTTTACGTTATTTTAATTTTCTCGCTCTCTTCCTTCATAAAAGGGAGTAAATTTTAAATTTGGGCGCTGCGCAATTTTTCTTTTATATTGACCCTTCGCCCATAATGCGCAATATATTTGTTGTGGGCGTCGCGAAGAAGATGTTTTTTCAAACCCCGCGAGGTATTTGCGGCACCTTGCGCCGTACATTATATACCGTTGCGCATTTTTTGTTCGTAATGTGCGCGACATGGTGCAGACGGCAACAGTGCCGCTAAAATGTTTTTTGCCAATTTTGTAGTTACGTATAAAATTATTGTTCACTTGAAAAAAAAACGCCCTGCAAAATTTTTTTTGTGGCCCCTCGCAGAAAAATTAACTTGTGATATATAATAATGGCAACACGTGTTTAATATTTATATACTTTTAATGGGTTCATTTCAACTCATAAAGGCAAAAAACAATGCGTGCACAATATTGGTGCTGGTATTATTTTTATACTAAAAATCTTTATTCTAAGTTTTGCTTTATTTTCATGACCCATCGGTTCATTTTTACGTAAGTCAGCGCTTCCGTCATTCCTTTCATTGCTTGCGCAGTTTATTATTATTATTTTTTTTTTTTGCTAATTTTTTACCGTTTTTTTTTTCTGTTCGCGTTTTTTGCTATTTTCGTTTTTTTCTATTTGCATTTTTTTTTTTTTTTTTTTTTTTTTTTTTTTTTTTTTTTTTTTTTTTTTTTTTTTTTTTTTTTTTTTTTTT